TAGCACGTAGCTATTTATTATTAGCATTGTTCTTCCGATGTCTGATTTCTTTTTAATTATAGCAAATGCGTTTTTCTAAGGTACATAAACTCTTGAGATTAACTGTATAGCCAATACATCCTTAAGTTGGTCAGACGTTGGTCTGGCAAACGATGATGACTGATACTCTCGTAATAGCACGACGAGCGCTTCCCGAAAAACGTCGACCATGCGCCAGTAAACAGAGACGTCTTTCCACGATGCTCGCCACATTCTCGAAACAGAATCGTAAAACGACGTTCTAAATATACTTTGGTTCGAGGAAAATATTTACTGGAAACTGGAGTAAAGATTATCAGTAGTGCGTAGAATCAATTACAATGTACTGTTGCACTCTCCCGTCGTTCTCTCGACAGCGCGGGCTGTGAGCCGTCTAGTTATCGTTGAACGTTTAAATTCGTTTTGAACCTTTTCCGTATTCTACGAGATCGTGAAGAGAACGGCTCGGAGCGAAAGTGTAATTCGGATATTCCGTGGAACGTTCGAACGTTTCGTATGGAGAGAGCATTCGTTCGACACACGTCTCTAGCAACAAGTGTTCGTCGTGGCTGTCCATAGGTAACGGACGTCCACACCAATCGCCTACGACGGAGTCGTTTCCGTCTGGAGGGAACCGATACGAACCATCCATGAATCGAAAACCTGGCACTGACCCAGCTCGCCGAGCCTCTCTCACTACCAACTCTGTCTGACCGCGTTTATCACACGATCTCTTCAGCGAAACGTCGTTAAAATTCTCTGTAAAAACTCTTGTGATGAAATTCGATTGAAAACACAAATACGACGTATAACAAAACTGTGATGATCGATCGAGATCGCTGCGAACCATAGAAAAGGTATCCCAAGTCGCGTTTCATACCCGTTTTCCGATCTCCGTAGTTGCGTTACGCATCGAATTACGGACCAGCACCTATCGATCTGTCCACCAAGTTTCTGCGGTTACCGAAGGGAAAACTCGGGAAAACTGGTAGATGCACACTCGACCAGACTCGGTTTCACCTTGAACTACACTGACCTAAATCGTCGCTACTACTGTTGGACGTCGCGTTTGTCAGCCGCACGAATCATTTTCTGTTGGACGATCGACGATACGACTGTCGACCGTCAGAGACGCCGTACGTAAACCCTGAACAACGGAATCCTCGCGGGTTCGCGTTCTGCGCGACGACTTCTCGGATATCGCCGACTTGGACGCTACTACGAGCAGCGAAAACGTTGTTTGCCGTTGTTTGATCGTCGGATCGATTCGATTTAGACGTTAGACTCGCGCGTGTTTCACTGGATCGGACGAGACACCGGCTCGGTCGCTGGTCGCGAACTGGATCGGGTCGAAAGCCGGCGGAGTTCGCGACACACGTTGTGCGGAATTTACGGCGCATCGGCTTGTGTGCGCGTGCGACGACGGCCGACCGATCCAATTTCCCGGACTTTCCTCTGTTCCTCCCCCTGGAAAAGTCACGTGCGCCGCGTGAATCTTCGTTCACGTTGACTCTCTATGTATGTACGTCCTACGTAACACGTCCGCGTATACTCCGCTCTCTCTTTTTAACGAGAATCATCGTCACGGAAAATAATTTCTCAACTCCTACCTGATTCAGACCGATTCTAATGGCACACGTATCAGATTTGAAAGTAACTGTACTCGAGATTGCGACACGAGCATGTGGCCTTTACGCGCGTTCGCAGTACGCAGAATGTACGCAACCATAACTTTTTATCTACTGCCGCCGTCGTTCGACTACGGTTATTCGGTAGATAAGATCATCGATAAGCACATAAATGGAGCTCTCACGCCCGATTCCATCTCACTTAGAAATTGTTGTCAATGACCGCTCCTGGAGTTGGCTACTTACAGTCGGTGGTGTCCACCTTTAAAATTATCCAAATAGTTATTCACGGTTGTCTATGGAAATGGAAGAAGAGCCAGTATTTGGAACCGAAAGAAAATTGCAGTTCCGGTTGACTCGCGCGCACTCGTACGTGTTCTATCGTTTCATTAGGTTTCCGATTTTTACTTCGATTCTGATTGTCATCCTGGTACGGATTTCAATTTCGATCGTGCGGTTCCGACGTTCATTTTAAATGTTGATCGTGATTCTGGTTGCAAAGTCTCATCTTCGGAAACGGTGCCAAGCGAAGAACTACGATCTAGTTCAAGGATCTCTGTGTCGACCTTGAACAATTTAATATATTCGCGATCGAACGAACAATTAAGAAGCGTAGGTGATTAAATTTCGCTGGAGGACAAGTGGAGGCGAGAGTCTCGGTTCGTTCGTAGAGGGAAAACAGGAAACGAGACAAAGTAAAAATCGAATCGAGCACTGTTCGCGAAGAGAGGACGCTCGAATCAGCGTTTACTTCTCTTCGTCGTCCGGTTCGTCGGTACATCAGAGTAGAACGCGTGATGCAGAAGTCCGTAACCTAACGTCGGCAAATACACGAGTTCGCTTTGCCGACTCACCGAGTCGAACAGGACAGGCACTCGCTTTTACCGGCTAGTTTATTGATCATCGTGATTTGTGGCATAGTTGGCCCGGCGGCGAACACACGTTTAATTAGGGGAAAAAGAATAGAAAGTAATTAAGGAGCGCGTCGTCAACCTGGACCTTTTCCATCTATAAGTTTTCGTGGCGACACGTAACGAGATGCATAGAAAAAAGGAAGAGTGACCTCGACCTATTTTCCCGGAATGATAAAGCGGCGCTATATGAGTATAGAGAGAGAGAAAGAGAGAGAGAGAGAGAGAGAGACTCCTTTTCTATGCGATTCGGCTGTGGATTTCCCTCTCTCTTACCACCCGAGCTTTCATCGTGACCCAGATCGTTTGTCCCGCGTTTCATCGAATCGATATTTAGAAACGGTGCACATACCATAAATCGTTGCGCAGAAAAAGAAGACGGCAGAGAAACAAATGACCTACCCGCATATTTTTCCGCTTCCCCTCCTGCGTTCTCGTTAAGTAGTCATCCGATCCGAGAATACGTGTGCGTTCGAGAAATTGTACGGCGAGAACATTACGGACGCGCAGCACAGAGATACAGCGTGGTCGTATCGAGCCTCGCAGAGACAAGACCCGCTGTATCTCGCCCGGGGAATGCGCGATAATTAAAAAAAATTAACGCGCCGAAGACCTTGGTAGCGTTCAAAGTCGGCGGTTGGACAATATGACAAGGATATTTTTATGCTTGTGTTTACGCTGATCGTCGTTAGGAATTAAAAAAGAGACTCGTAAGAATTTTGGCATAAAAACGATGACCCCGCTGTTGTCTGCGGTCGATCGTCCCTCTGACGAGACGAACGTTCTTCGGTACTTTCGACAGTTTCGACAGTTTCGACAGTTTCGACCGCGGAAGACGCACAAATCTCATAAGCTTCATCTCGCACCGGCTCTCTCGCTTTCTGCCGAGACGCATATTCGACTTATCTCTCACTTTCCGACGTGATCCGCGCAAACGAGAAAATTTTGTATGGTGTGACCGCGTCTCGCGTTCTCGAAATACAGATGTCTGGGTAGACCGGCGATCGGCCGTTAGAAAAATTCGTCGAACGTGATCGAAGAATGAAACGAAGAGAACTCACCCCTCTAGCGTCCCTGAAGAGGATCGCGGCGTGCACGGGATCCAGGCAAGCGTCCGATGCTCTATGCGGAACCGCAGGTGTGCCCAAAGAGAATCTTCTGGCACCAGGATCCAAGGAACTCCTTCTGAGTGCTCCTGAAATCGAACGTTCGCCAGCGACGTTAAAAAATTGACAAAATCATCGTTCGTCCGACGATCTTACTGTGATACCACTACAGAAATCGAGATCGAGCGTCCGACGTAGAAAAACGTAAACTGCTGGTCGTCCGTCGAGACGGCTAGACCGTGTAGCCGTCAATGTATAAACGCAATATCTTACGTACGACCGTGTTTACTCGGAGAACGATTTTTGATACGTATACGACGCGTAGTTCCTATTTTCTCGCGTTTCGTTCGCATTCCGCGGAGCGGCGATAAGGGTCGGCGGGGAACCGTAATTGACTCGAATATACGCTGCAGAGCCACGTTTCTGCAAACTAAACTGTTCATCGCTGAGAGTGTCAAATGCGTGCGATTACGATGGCACGAGAAACCGGAACTCGTTCTCCAATTGCCAACAGCAGGCCATCGTTCTGCATTTCTTGCGTTCCAACGTTATCTTATACGTCGCCGTATAAAACGTCGACGTATTCAATCCGCGACGATCCGTTAAACTGGAATTTGACATCGGATCGCCGCGAGATCACACAGTCTTTTTTTTTTATTATTATTTTTTGACAGACATAGAAACGAATATTTCCCTTGGACATTTTCCTTCTCACATTCTATATTCGTATTCCCCGGATGATATTTCATCCCACGGAAAGTTTAATCGACGTTCTCGATCAATTCTACCTTGAACAAATTTACCCTTTTTCTTGCTGCTGGTAAAGAATTTCATAATTACACGAGCGCGCGCGTCCAACGACCCTTTTTGTGGTCGAATCAGAACGATGAGAATTCAATCGATAAGAAGTATCACGTTCGACCGTAATGGAAATTCAATCGGAATAAAAATAATGATTCGAGGAAGGAAGGAAGGAAGGAACGATTTGTTCGGGAATACGCAAGAAGATCGTCTAACGATCGGGAAATGAAGAGAATGCGGATAGGATTCCGGGCCAGCAGATAAATAGGTCGATCGGTTTCGGAAATACGGTTCGGAACGGTCGATAATTTGAATACGGTAATCTCGTACGATTCGACCGCGTGTACCACGCGACAGTGATCGTAATGAGAAGTACTCGCAAAGCGAAGTAGTAGCCGTTGCGATTAAGCGAAGGTGATCTCCGCGACCTTTTTCGGTACCGACGGCTGACTGAACTCTACAGAGGCTGCTGAGCCTGCAGTAGAAAATGTTACGCAAACTCGTTGATCGATCCAAAAATAGAAATATGCCGTACGATCGTGTCCAGCTAGGAGAAAATCGTCGAGACGAGACGGGAAACGTTTTTCAAACGAAGATAACGACGCCGAGTGGCACGCGACGCGACGCGACGCGACGCGACGCGGCGCGACCATAGAACTTTTATTTCTGTTTCGATCGTTCCTATCCGGTGATGACCACAGTGAACATTTATACTCGTACGAGTATAAATATTTGTAAGTGGTTAAATTTTTAGAACGCGAACCTCTGCTAATTGACAGTTAAATATCGTACTACGACGTGTCTACGTATAATTTTAAATGGTTCGAAACACGAACAACGTTCTAGCTGAAATTGGCACACGTTGTGAGACCGGATAATGCGTGCTTTCGATTGCTACAAAAACAAATTGCGTAACACGAGGAACTTAGCATTACGAATATTTGCCAACGGAACAGTGGTCACGTGTGTCGCGCGTTATAATCATACGGGTTCGTAGACTGGATGTAGACTAGTTTTAAAGGAACGTACAGCGGTCTCGAACGGAGAATCTAAGAAAGGCGATCGAAGCGCGCGTGTATCTCGTTGGGAAGGGTGTTAGTCGAGCGAACACACGGTCCTCCCCGCTCGGATTCGGAGAATTCATTGTTTCGGTTACCTTGCCTGAGTATGCTTTCGTAGATTCTATACGTGGTCTCGCAATCGGCGTCCCTCAGACTCGGATGCCGAGCGGCGCCGCCGTCCAAACTCTGACTTCTGTTCCGGAACTCTTGCTCCTTGTTCCTGGGCGGATCCTGACACTCGCTCTGCCTCCTCATGTGGCCCAACCTTCGGCCAAAGTGTCGTATCATCTCCTGAAAGCTGTAATGATGATGTTGAGGCTTCTCCTGATCCCCGGTCGGGCTGGGTGACGTGGGTGACGACGCCCGACCATTGACGCTCGGCTGTCTCGGTTGAGGTTGCAACGTCTGAGGATGGTGCACGTGATGAAGGGGATGATGATTGTAATGGTGGTGGCCGCTACCGTGGATCGTGTGGTACACCGAGTGGTTGTGCACGCCGTGGTTAAGGGACGAGCCGTGATGGTTCGAAGAGTTGGATCCGTGAGACGAGGACGTCGAGGAACCGTAAGAGTAGGTCGAGCTCACTGAACCTCGCGACACGCGTCTTTGAACGTGTTTCTGGTTCAACAGCTCCTGCAGGATCTTGGCGTCGTGCTGCTGCTGCTGCCTGGCGTCCGAAGCGGAGCAACTCTTTTTATCTTGACGATGAAGATGATGATGGAGCTTCGCGTCGTTACTCTGGGAACCATGGTGAGAGAGCAGATGACTTATTCCATGCATCTCGGCGATCTTTCTCTTCGTTCGATAAACAATAACTTTTCTCTGTTCCTTCTCTGTTTCGCCGGGGAATGGTCTCTCCTCCAGGTTCGTTGGTCGATCTTCGTGTCGTTGCTTATCGACACGACGACGCACAGGGAAGACCGTTGAAACTGCGGAAAACGATCCTAATAGAGAAAAATTTAACAATTCTGGCCGAGAAACGTGGACGCATCGATCGTACGAACACACTGCCACAGTTGGTCCAACATCATCTACTACGGGTTTAACGGGCAAGTTCGAAAATAATCTGCTTCCGCCGCTTTCGAAATTCCACTTACGCAAATAGTAGAAACCAGCGTGACGCCGACGAAATGCTGTTGGAAAATTAAATTGGTCGCGCGGTACACCTAAATTTAGCGGACGTTCAAATATCACTGGCTCGCGATCGACGCGAACGTCGTTGCGAACTCCCGCGCGCGTACTTACGACGACGTCGCGCGTGCCCCGGGTGGAGCGTCAGTCCTCTCGTCGTCGAGCAAGATTTATTGAATCCACGATCGAAATTCAAGATCGAAACACGAGCACGATCGTCTGGCATGCTCGTAGAATCGTAGCCGACAATCGATCTCGTTTCTACGATCGTTTGCACGGCTCGCGTTACTAAAATCGTGTACAGACGTATCGTAAATACGTCGGACGAATCTCCATAAATTACACGCATCTCCGGATCATCGAACTTGCAGATCAATCGCTTCAGTCGCGAAAATCATATCGCGAAACTCCGGTCGACTCTGTTCGTTCGAGGTCAGCGCTGCCGTTCGAACGATCTTTCCCGTCGATTCTCGTGAAAAATATACCCTCTCGTTGAACGGAGAGCCAAGTGCGATCGGCGGAGAAAGACATATTTCTTCTGATCTAAATGCAAGACTATTTTTATGTAGTTCAATTAAAATCGATCGTTAAGCGTTTAACCACGAGCTCGTTGAACTTCAATACGACAAGCGACAAAGAGAAGACACGATCGTTCGCGATTCAAGCTGGATTACCTGGAATCCGGTGTGAACGACGCGAACGAAACCGAAACGGACGCGATCACGAACGACGGCGATATAGATATTACGTGTAACGATACTTAAAACCAAGTGGCGTGTCCTCCGGCAGTCGGGATTAATTTTAAAATTCAGGAGGAAACGTTTAGTGCGCGCGGCTGATTGCGTGATTAGGGGAAGTAGTCGGAAGGGGCCGGTGATCGTCGTGACTCTTACGAGAACGATCCAATTATCGTCGGTCGCAATTAAACGCGTGTAAATACGAGATGACCAAGAGATTCGTTTCTTCTCTCTCTCTCTCTTACAGATGAGCCAACGAACAAAACTGATTTCGTATTATCCGACGTGTGCTCGGGGGAACGTCCCGATTTCAATAACGGGGTCGTCGATGTGACAAATTTCGGGGCCGTGGCCGGGGAAACTGGGTCGTATCGATTGACCGGGTCTCCCACCGTTCTGAAGGAGCGTGCATGCTCAAAAGAATTGTTATAGTTCACCCTCTTTTGTTCGGCGAGACGACGACGACGGTGGGAAAAAATTGGTAGCCGACGATGCCGAGGCCCAGCTTGAAATCGCGATCACCGTTTCTGACACTTGCACCGTTAAGACGTCAACGACGCTCCGTCCCCTCTAGTTAATTATTACCTGACCTCTAGACCGATCACGAAATCGTATTTAATCGTCGTGAACAGACTCGGTTCGAGAGTTTTCAACGACGGTGGTTCGACAAACGCGACTTGGGATAATTGCACCGCGCGCGCGTAATAAATTGCGATGACGTCCGCGACGAAATCATTGTTCTTCCGATCACGCATAAAGACCTGCTGCGCTGTAACACGCATACTTACTACTCGTTTTCGACGGAGCGAAAGGAAGCGCGACCGACGATCTACGAATTTTCGCCGGTGCAATCGTGTTGAATCACCACCGGTCGTCTTCACCGACTCAATGGTCTCGGACCGTGAGGTCCACAGGACCGAAGGCAGTCAAGAGAGAGACACAAAGAATTATGTCAAACAAGCTATAAATAAAGAAAAACTTTATACGGCCGACTTGCACACATACGTATACGCAGTTGGAACATCCGAGCGTGTTCTCTCCGTCTGGAGCGGAGGTTCACCGAATCGACCTTTAAAATGTCAAACACGGTACGGTGGTACAGCGCGTGAAACATCGTCGTTGCGAAGCAGATGCACGTCTCCTCCCGTGACGCGTACGTTCCAATTAGGCCGAACCGGTCACGTTCAATCCGTTCAATGCCGTCGCACCGCGGAAAACTCAATGTTACGTTGGGACCCGATCGAACTCGTCGGTTAGTCACGTACGTGTCGGTTTCAATTCTACCAGAGTGAATCAGACGTTTAACGACCACCGGGATGTCCACGGAGAATGTACGGGGAGTATTTGCAGTTAACATCGTATCTGGCCGACGCGACGGGATGCTGAACGAACGACGTATATAACGTGCAACACCGAGAGAAGTGATCGACGCGACTTGTGCTTCTCGTTCCGCGGTGCATTACGTGCGATCGACGCCGTCGATCGTCCTAGTCAAGTGTTTTTCTAGCGAAACGTTCCACGATCGTTTATCACCGTTTCATTTACCTGAGCTTCGATGACGCCGTTTCGTTTCTACTTGAGGAGCTCGAACGCGTCGCGCGTCGTCGCGGGTGCATCGCCACGCGATTCGAACCGCGTTTCCTGCGCGCCGTTTATTAATGAAACCGCCGTGATCGAGCCGTGTGGATCTCGAGCAAATCGATGGAATACCGGTAACACTGGCCACGTGACGTTCGTTTCGCACGTAGCTTCGCACAGGTAAACGATGTAATGTACGGTTCGCGTGAAAGACATTCTGTAAAAGGGGATATCCGTCGTCGGGGAAGAACGTCGCGATGCCCATTATCCAATTTCCAACTACGGTAGAAAACGACACAGATAAAACGACGAACGACGGGAGACAGAAGAGGGTCGTGTTGGTTCGGTCAATTTTTATGAAACGTCTCGGCGAAGCCGCCTTGGCGAGGTATGAATTGAATCGAGAGATGCGAATAAAAATAATATTTCTTCGGCAAAGAGGCAACCGTTCGGCAGCTGGGTAATTGCACGAACACGGTTACGTAAACGCGTATTGACGAGCGACAAACAGGAAAGCGATACCGCGTGTGACACATGTGTTGACTCGAGCCTCGTCCGAGTTCCCTTTCGTCCGATATCGTCCGCTTCGACGTGTTCGAACAATGTCAATGAGTAGACGACGACGACGACGGTACTGGTTCGACCAGATTCCTTATTAGAAATACCTACGAGAAGGAACACGTGCGCGGACACACCAAGAAGCCGTTACGATCCGACGTGAACATTTTCAAGTATATGATAAACGTTTCGACGAGCCGCCCGCCATCGGAGTATTATTAGTTATGCAGCACTTGTTGAACTATCGACTGTTGTTTCGCGAATAGGTGATACGTCGTGTAACGAGCGTACAGATTACGTAAACTTACGTAAATGAAACGAGGATCGGTATCGAGAGAGGGAGACATCGTTTCCAGCGATCAAAATCGCCAGTCTAAACGTGATGCTCTCGTCGCCTACAGGGATGTGGTGGTGGTCGAAATTTATGCAGTTATTTACCGAGCTCCGACTAACGAAGCACTAAAATAGACAAAATACAAATGACATTGAGTTTACCGGTGGAAGCATGTTTACGCGAACTTGCGAGCACTCGGTAACATAATCTAATAATGTTCTATCGCACTATTTTTAGACCATAGGTGCACCCCGTCGGCTGCTCCGACGCTGAAAAATCGCAGCTGATACACGCTCTGTGTATACACACCGGCCAAGACGGACGTGGAAAGAGTAACGCGCGGAAAGATTTACAGGTCGTTGATATTGGAAATCGTGATCGTTACATCACTTTGTAGACGCGTAAAAGCAGCACGAGACGCGACCACCAGTAGTAGTAAATCGATCGAAACGACGAGCATATACGATCAACGTACGCGTCTCTACTCTCAGATTCGTAGACTCTCCGGCAGCTTGACGACTTACTTAACTTGACTTAAGTATACGAATTATAAAGAAATTTCTCAATTTTACAGACTCGTCTACACACGGACCACGCAGCCAACCGAACGACTCAGCGATGACACATGACCGAGCGAGGTCTGCTGCAGCAGGGAACGTGCACACGATGCACGGTTGCACTGCAGCTGTGCGTCCGACCGAATCCATCTCGATAGATCTCGTTCGAGGCACAACCAGCGAGAGAAGATGCAGGACGCGCGTCGCAACTACCTACATATAGCGTGTTAACTGCAGTAACGCGATGCAGCGTGCACAATGGCTAATCGAAAACCTGACTTTTATCGGTATATATTACACTGAGAAAGTCGGTATCGCCAACACAGTCGTTTCGACTGTGGTCGATTACGTCGCCAAGACCTTGGGACGTGGATTAGGGAGTACAGGTGCGATGCCTCGCAACGAATCGTAATTCGATTTAGCAAAAAACAGAGACAGACGAGAACCGTGTCCGCGCGAATGATACCGTTCCTCTTCCAGAGGCTACTACATGCGACTAACCAGATAAAGACGTTAACGAGCTTTGGTAGATGCGACACGCCGTTCATATGCACCCGGCTAATATTCCGGCAGCACTTTTTAAACGACTCTCATCGGAAAACTGAAAATGTTCGTTTTGTCGTACATCGCGTATCGTGCGCCTTCGTCATCGAATGACTGAAATCGCGCGGTTCGAGCGCTCGCACGGACGGCGATCTCGCGTTAATTAAAAATCCACGCGCTCCAGACGGAACACATCCGCGGAAAAAATGCTAGCTAGTAAACACAAGCCTCATTTACGAGGAAAAATAATCAAAGGTTAAGACTGAATGGCATTACGAATGCCGATATAAATACACGTAGAGAGAGTCATTGTATGCACATGTTCCTATTCAACGTTTGTTTACGGCTCGTACTCGAGAACGTAGCCACGTTACAACGTGATAAAAAGAACACGCACGTAATCGTCGTGTACACGTTCATGACAATGAAAAAGAACGATTCTCCCCTAATGTTAGGAACCATTTTGGATGTTTGTAGATGTTTCAACGAGATCGAGGTTTAACTCTTTTGTCGTAGACGAGTCTCGAGACGAGGAAAAAGCGCGAAATTACACGACGAGCTGGCTAATGCATGTGCTTTCATGTCCGAAAACATCGGTTTCCGGTTTCAAACTCGTCGATACGATCGACATGTGGATCTCGAAACCGGTTCTTCAAGGCCGACCAAGACCCGCGTGTGTATACAGATACAGATATGCCGCGGTGTACGGTGCACTTCCAGAACCAGCTGCTGGCTATATAAGGATTTACCGTGCTCTGCGAGGGTCACGTACGCACGTACAGATACACGCTTCTACCAGCGACCTACGCGTGTCTCGTTCGGAACACGTAAAACAACGAAATATTTCGTATATACGGACGTATACTGAGCCTGCTCAGAAGGTGTGATCTTGTGTAACGAGTAACCTTGGTCCTATCCTTGAAGCACTCTACGCTCGGTTTCTGAAGAGTTAGCAGAATCGAAGAATGTGGCTGCCATCGGCCGCTGCTTGCACACCACGTTTCGACGCTAGGCTCACACAGACGAGCCACGTCTCACTCGTCCGTCGAGTGCTGATTCCAAGTGGTAGTACATAATATGCGATCCCACCCCACCCTTCGTACTCTCATCTTTGCTCGAAAGGTGCCAACCGGTGGTGAACCCTCCCAACTGTTCGTTCGTTGCGAGAACACACGCGAGAACTACAGCTTCAAAAAAATTACTTCTCGCGGGGCTGTTCCTATTTTCTTTTCTTTTCTCTCAATCGTATTTTCTGTGCTGCGTGTACTCGTTTTCACCCGCCGAAGGAGTCTTTAAAGACGCGACAACTAATAAAACAAAAACGCTCGTTAAATGTGTATTTTCTCATGTACAGCAGCAGCAGCAGCAGCAGCAGCAGCAGCAGCAGCAGACCACTTGCTTGGAACCTCTAGTAATAAGGAAATTAGCATAATAACAGATAATAGTTTCACAGTTGCATACGAATCGACGTTTTTTCCAATTTCAACGTCTGCAATTTATGTAATTTCACTCGACTGAGAACATATTTCTTTTCACGCTGCAGCTGTTACGTCACGAGTCAGAAATTTGGATGTCGGAGAAAGTAGTATCTAGCGCTTCTCATTAGGATCGTTACTCCGATGAGCCGTTCTCTCACATTTCGTCCGAGCAGAACTGAACTCAGAATCCAGCCCAGTTTACACACGATTAAATTTCTCTCGATCGTAACGTACGATTACCGTTTCCTCGACGAGTCAATCGGATGTTCGTGCTAATTATTATCTGACCGACGACGGTTTACGGTAAGTACGTACGTAAAATATGATCGTAACCGATTACTTGATACGGCAACGAAACATTTCTGGGCAGTGTTTACAATCATCGAATGAACGTCCACGTCTCTCGATCGGTACGAATAATAAAATATGTGAGTGTTCGTAAAGAACCACTTACCAATTTATTGCGATGCAGGCAGTTTTAAGTCGAGCCACTTCGTTCCTTCGATTTCACTTCCCACGTTCAAATCGCAGAACACACTTAACGATTTTACGCGGCGCACGTTCGCACCTCGGACGTGATCTCAGAAGCTCGGAGAATATCGGCACAATACGCGTCTAATTGCTCATAGATAAGAACTTTTCTTACGGTCAACGAAAACGGTCACTATCACTGTCTGGATCTCGTCGCAAAAGAATCGACGGGATGTCTCTCGATGCACGTAAGCACACTCTCTTCGAAACGCTGATCGGAAGAACAGCAAAACGCGTACTTATTATTATTATTATTATTATTATTATTATTATTATTATTATTATTATTATTATTATTACTACTACCGATGGAAGTCCGACGAAGAGGAAACGAGAATTACCGTTTCGTTGACCAGCAAGGTCGTACCGGTTCCCGTGTACGCGGTTCGTGGTACAACACGTAACGCGCAATTGTGTTTACGTTTACGATCGCAGATCGTGCCGTCGTCGATGACACGTCGCGTCCCGTTTCAACAGCCATTCGACCGTTGACTATTACCACCGAAAGAGGATCGCGAACACGAGAAACGAAAAGAACAAAAAAGAAAAAACTATCGACGTACCGAACGATTCACATCGAGATCGTCGAGCACCGAGGATCGGACGAGAATTCTTCCCTAGACGTTACGTTCCGTTTCGTTTCGCACGTACGACAGATTCAGCGGCGTCTCCGGTGACTCGTTCGAGATTCAATTTCACTAGAGGTCGACGACGACGACTCCCGTGACTCCGTGCACGAACCGAGTGCAGTCCCGGGGATTAATGACGCGTTCTTTCGAAGAATCGCGTGCATTGATCGTCAGCCTGACGATGCGGCCACTAAACGGACAGATTTCGAGCACGTGCCCACTGTACGCGTTGCGGTACAAAAACGTTCTGAGGCGCAGGTCCCACACCACCACCGTCAGCGTCAGCCGTTCTGCGCGCTTCGCACCGTGCGCGCCGCCATATTAACTACGGTACGATGGCCGACATCTACCGACGATATCTCGCATCGTCGAAGCCGCTATTTCAAATTTCATGATACGTATAGGAATTCTCTAACGCTCCCCGACGTCTATCGAGTATTTTCGACATCGTAAACCATTCCAACTTAAGTACTTTCCGCTTCCACTCGACTCGCGGTAACATATTTTACGTGGGCGCGTAATGATCGGACGCTCGATCCAAAACCTTATTATAAATCGTAAACGTAGAAAAAGAAAGTTCACTCACCCGACGAACTCGGCTGAGCCTGGTGCTGAACCGCAGCAGTCTTCTGTAAAAGAGATAAAGCGTTCTCGTTTGAACAACGACGTCTCAACGGTGACGAGCACAAGATTATTATGCGTTCACGCGTGTGCTGTGCAAAATTGGAACCGACAGAATAATAAATATATGTATGTATGTATGTATGTACGTAAGTATGTTCATCTCGTAAGATCAATCGTATCCCAGAGGCCTCGAGACTCTTGGAATCTAGCGAACGACTTCTCGGTTTTGCGCCAAAGTAATCGTCCTTTTTCCCACTCTTTATCCATCGAAAGTACGAAGACATATTGTGCGACGCTCTTATGAACCGACACAGTATCACATAATCACACGATCCCGGTTCAACGTTCACCAGAATTTTACACCGTGTTCTTCCTGGCAGGGATCCTTCCTGTACGATCCGATTCGAGACACAAGTCCAAGTACGACGCCAGATCGACGAATCGAACCGTGAAAACTGAACAATGACCAAAAGTCGATCGAACCATATCATCAGCGTTTTCAACGTTGACGCTCGACTTTTTACGGTGATTCCAAATGGAAAATGATGGACGAAGCACGGGGAGAAAGCATACTTTCAGTTTAAAATCGAAGAGCGAAATCTAAGAAACTCGTTACTCGTCCTTAGACAAGTATACATATCTTTCCTACTGAAGTTGCCCGTCTGAGTATCATTATTATTATTATTACTGTTATTATTATAAAATTGTACCGTCTACGATGACTACGAATAATTACTTTCCTATTTCTCGCGATAAGAACGGAAGTTATGTCGTCGTAACGATATGTTTCATTATCATAAAGACGAAAAAACGGTGAAAATACGAAAGACAACGCAGCAAAAAATCGTGAATCATTCGCCTGAATATTTTAATACTATGCAAATGGTTTCTCCTCGGTCTCGTTTTAAAAGAACAATGGTCATGAATTTACACAGGTTATCACTTTCGCGAGACGTACCGCGGAAAAAAAGATATGCCACGATGTAATTTACTCGGGCAGACAATGAACAGAGGGCCAAAAATTTCCGAGAACCGCGATTCAACCGTGAGGAATTCTCTCTTTTCCCGTTGAGAAATGTTCCTCTGCTGCTCCTTTCCAAATTACAAGCCCGATCAATGAAATCGAGATACGTGTAAGCGGAGCGTTCCAAGTGAAACATGAACAACTAAGCACCGCTGCGTTTCTCAGCGTATACTCCAATGTCCACGTACTTGAAATGCGTGGAATATTACAAGGGTAATTAGAGATACACGATAATCGTTAAAACGAATTTACATACGAGAAAAGAATGTCATTCCGCTAGGAAGAAAACTTTTATCGCACGTTTCAAGACACGACTCGCTCGATCCTTACCACCGGCGGTAGATTTTCACAGCAGAGAGAAAGAGAAAGAGAGAGAGAGAGATAGATAGATATCGATACGACGTAATTTCAATTAGGGAAATGATTTCGCGAGAAGCATGAGCACGCGTGATCTCTACTCAGTAAGCCGAGTAACAGTTCGGTTTCCACCTTCGCGACGCCGTCGGTACCACCCCGCGGAATCGCTGATCGAATCTGAGGATCGTCAAAGAATGAACCTTAAATCGGTCCCGAATAAGTACACGCGGTCGCGCGGTACACAGAGGAATGAGACTCGGTGCGGTGTTTTCCCAAGACCTTCGACGTTGCAAGTCCCGCGAGTCACTGAGCGAAAAACTCGCCTTTGAATCCGTCGTTTTCTCCACTCACATACACACGTCGGCGCTACTCGCACGTCGACGCACACACACACGCACACACGTGCACGCGTCACTCCCACCGAAATCTGGACGTCACGCGTCGTTCTTTTTTCTCCAAACACACGTTACGTTCACGACCACCTGTCCAACGAACTCGACCTCCATATTCAAACGAATCGCGCGACTAATGAGAAATTATAATTGAGCGAACCATCGACTTCTGATGTAACGAGCGTTATAACACGTAAGTCGGTCGCGATAAAGGGATATGAAAATGTTGTCGTGTTTCGGAGATAACGAGCAGCGAGAGGAGTGATACTTTTCACTTAGTACAATTTTATTCGATCGAGGGGCGCGGAACATGCCGCTTAAACAAACTTACGAGAGGAGTAAAGAAATGTGTCACGGTGGATGAAACGAAACAGGTTTCGCTGCTAACTAGTTGTGTCATGCGACGCGCGGCCAAGAACGTGGAAACGTGCGCATTATTTGGGAGCCACGCAATGCTCGCATAAAATGCAATAGAAAAGACGATGAAGATCGAGCGATTGGAACGTGCAACCATTGCCGGACAAACGGACGGACGGAATTTATGGGAAAATTTATTACTCAAACTGATCAATGACGTCGTGTGCGCGTTAATGGCTTCAATATTTGAACAGATGCTATTTACGACTTTGCTGCGAGAACCTTCGCTGTACGAGCAGCAGCAGCAGCAGCAGCAGCAGCAGCAGCAGTTTTCCTTTTCTCTGATGCGAACCACACGTTCTTTCTGACGTTATCAGAGCGTACAGAATAAATGCTAACGGTAGGCTTTGTTAGTCAAATTAAAGATCGCGCATAGGTACGATAAAAAGAGACCATGTGTATGACAATGCGAACGGAGGAGAATAGTTTTAAAAGATGCAGGAGCAACAACTCGGTTCTCTGGCATTATAGTCGGCCGAGCCGCGCGAAGGAAGAACCGAGTCGTATAAACGCCGACGTCAAAATAACGTGGTGTTCTCTGCTTTCAAAGATCTGGTCCTTTTGTTCGCTGAGATACTATTGTTGAAAAAACGAGCCATCACCGGTGATGGCTGTACGTTTCTGAAAGTCGCGGTTCGTCTGAAACGTTCAAACAAAGTATACACGATATCATTATTTGTTCTCTGTTCGGGAATTCGTTACAAATGATGTGTCCAGATGATGTTCCAATTTTGTACTTTTACTCGGACCGGAATACGATACGATCACCGAGGAGATACTATTAAAGAATGGCAGCGGTGGGACAACGAATTGAGCCTGATAGAGCTGAAAACACAGTCGGTAATATTTGTAGCCGACAGCCAAAGATACAACTTTAGTCTGAAACATGACGACGAAAGCAAGTCTGAAAGACCTGCAAAGAAGGTCGTGTACAATTTTCTTCCATCTCGAACACTCGAGGGCTAATCGATTAATTATTACGTTCATCGTCGATTACAACTTTAACGAGTACAGTTGAAAGGAAATTGCGTAGAATCTCTTTTGTATCTTGACAATCATAGCTTCAAATTTTTCTCGGAAGCATTTTTCGTTATGGTGAAAATTTTGTTTTTCAAACGAACATTCTTATCGGTCGCTACTCTTCGGTAATGTCTCCTCGGTGATACGCGAGATTTCGCATTAAATACGAATCGTCAGGTGCAATCCTTACATCTTGTCCGCGATACTGACGAGCAGAAAAAGAACAATTACCAACCGACGTTACACTTGGCGCAACGATAAAAAGGAAACCTATTTTAACGCGTTCGATCGATCCCCGTAGTCTTACTACGACGACTATTATTTCTTTTTCACGTTGATCCTTGCCGTGATTTATCATCGCTGCTACGTAAACCACGTGAACATCGATGTATCGCGTTCGTACGTATAGCAAAATGGATTTACTCACCGCTTTCCGCTTGTCTTCGGCATTAAGAGCGCTGTGACTTCGATGCCTAATAAGGTCCATCACTTTGCTCACTGGATTTCTGCTGCTTTCCGACCCTGCCCGCGGACGTCCCATAATCTCCTTAGACTCCTTATGATCTTTGCTGTCTCTGTGATGTTCTCTGTCGGTACTACGCACATCGCTCGTCGAACTTCCGTGCGAGCCTCTGTACAACGAATGCTGTGAAAGATACCCAACGACGAGGCTCAATTATCACTTTAATAAGAACAATAACAATAACAGTAACAATAATTCAACAGTTTAAGTTAAGACTTGAAGAGACCAAGTACGACGGTTTACCTGTACAGCGCTCTTCATGTTGGCTATGATACTGGGTTTTCGTTTGCTAGCATCGGATTTGCTTCTCGGTCTGAACGCATCGAAGAGCGCTGGTTTTCTAGTCGGACTGGCGGTGTCGTCGATATTGCCGCCGCTTTTTCTGCGTTCCGCGCTATTGCTACGGCTGTTGGAACGGCTGGTGGATCCAGACCGAGTACCCGAGGCCTTCCTGCCGCCTTTGCTCGAACCCGACGATCCCGACGTGGGCTCCTGCGGCTGCTGCGGAAGGGGCGTCGACTTCCCGGAACCAGGTGCGCTCCCCGAAGTAGGCTTCCTGATGGTTCTCGAATGCGAGCCCCAAGTACCTGTAGCAACGAAAGACGTGCGTTCGTGAACGGGGTATTTAATCGAACGATAAAACGCGATCACCGTACCTGCTCGTGGCCGGTGACCTTGGTCGTGAGATGCTTGCCCCGAAGTGTCAGTGTCTTCCGTCACGATCGTTGGCAACGGTTGCGATCCAAGTTCCTGCAAAGAAAAAAAAAAAGTTCGAACGATCCCCGTGTAATAAAATGTTTAGCGGCGAAATTTCTCGTATAACTAACTGTTTTTATGATCACGATCGACACGATTCGGCAATTCTCGATTCGACGACACGAGAGATAGAAAAAATGAATCGGTCGACGCTCGGCGAAATCATCGAGGAGATCATCGAGTCGTAACAAATTGAATTGTTCGCAAATCCGAACCGTCGTAATAAGACGATTAGATACGGTTGTTTAATCAAGACGGTTAGTCGACACAATGTCTTATATTTAGCTGGATTATCTTTCGTGGATCGTTTCTTGCAAAGTATTCTTGCAAGTGGACATTTCGACCCGTTCACGTGTCTCTCCCGATATAACCGACACAAGTTCCGAGAACAGATTACACGGAACAATGCTAAAAACAGATCGTTAGTCATTTTATAAGAGACAGCTGAGCTTGGTCAAACATCGTTTTCGGAACAATCTCTCTCTCTCTCTCCTCCGTTCGTGGTGCCCCCTTCGTGCGACCCGGCACCGAATCGTGAAACACGCTCTCCGCAATCCGAGAATCGTCTCGTGATCGCGCGCGAGAATTTATTTTCCCTAATTGCGACCACACCACCTTTCTCTCTGTCGTGACATTTTCCAACGACAGAATCACGTGTTCCCATATTGAATCGTGCGCACTGAATCATCGAGTAATGCTTTCGTGGCATTTGTACAGTACACAGACGCAGCGAAACCGTACAAAATCAATCGATCGTCACTAGTCACCCACCGATTTTCGTGGTCTCGAACGTTAATCCGATCGACTATGATCGACTTTGGAACGAAACGGAAAACGGAGAAGTAGTTTTCAAGGGAGCCAGAATTCAATGCCGACGGACGACAAACACTTGGCTGCTGTTCGATAAGAAGGAAGATGTCACGGTCGACGAATAAACTACAGATCCGTCCGAATTTTATTATATTATAAGCAAACGGGACAGGGACTCGTGGCAAGCGCACGCATTTCAATCGATCGTGTTCTGGAAAAATACATTGTTTTTTGTAGAGGAAGAAAATCTGGTTCTCTCGAGTCGATCGCCCATCCGTCCCCAACGTAATTCGTTCGGCACTCGAGCTCACGCAGATAAGATTATCGAATCCGATTCCGATCGTCGACGGTCGAAGATCGAGATTGCGAACGAACAGCTGTTGGTGAGAGAACGTTCCTGTGAACAAAAGCAATCAGCGTCGCCGAGTATTCTGAACGATGTGGTCCAGTAGGTGCTGGTATATGTCATCAATTGTGAAAGCGATCGAACACGATTGAAAAATAAGACCGAGGCGACGGACGAATCGTCGTCGCCCGACTATCGTCGACTCGCTTCCTATCAATATGAAATCAGCCCCTGTGAGCGGGCGTATCCGTGACAACGAGTCATTGAAACACGTCGTGTGGAACAAATATAGTCAGATTTCTCGAGACTCGGTTCACGCACGCAAATTTGCGCAAATTAGGAACACCTGCTTCGAAGGAACGAGTTGATAGATTCTACGCGATCTAACGTGAATGTATCAGCTGGCGGCAAAGGGATATGCGTATGCCTCTGTCTCGCGTTCGCGATCGAAAGCGAAGAGTATTTGTTCTCGGTACGTACCTTGTACGTTCCATGGTATTCCGGACATCGATCCAAGTACGGCACCAGCGAGTACTTTCGTACGCGACCTAAGGACACCGTCGACATGGTTTCACGAGCGACCGAGGAAATCGCGCACCACCGAGATTTCAGAACGTCCGTTCACGCGATAAACGTGCGCCCATCGGGATTCACCAGGGACTGTGTGAACGATATCGGCGGCTCTCGTGGGTGGTAAGTACGAGATGCAGGGATTCACTATCACACACACACGTTCGATATCTTTTGAACGAGAAATCGGACCGATGATAAGTTTCCTCGGAGGATCGTCGTAATTCTCCCTTATCGTCGACGAACAATCGTGATTAGCGAGATACGTGCGTAACACCTCCGCGTACGTTCACGCGCACACATAGGAGGACCAGAGACACGATCCACGAGGACTTTTACAGAGAATTATCTACTAACTACGCTGGATTCGCGAATTCTTGTGTGACACGTACAGCAAGGGAAGAAGCATTGCTACGCGGTTGCCATTCAAATAGAATATCGAGCAGGATCAGAAGATTATCGTCGAGAACGACGATCGACGAACTATGCTCGCTGATTACATTGACTTTCCCTCTATCTCGCGAAAGATATCCGTAATGCCGGTCTTGTACTTTGAGCTTCACAATTGGTACAGTGGTGCAATCAAAACTGTCCCGTTGAAACACGGTAGAATCTATCGAATCTATCGCCGAGAAACAAAGACTGTCCCAAACTCGTTCATTTCAAGCTGTTGGCCACTGTTAACGGTGGAATACGGATACGTCGGTCGGTGTCGAACAACGACACCGATCAGTTTGACGCGTGACTCGTTTCGAGTTCCGAGCACGACGTAGAGGTGAACGAACACTGTATGAACGGTGATAACGAATCGACGAGAGAGACGCCTAATTTACTTTGCTCATCGGTCTCGTTATTCCGAATTACTCCGCGCGGAGATGACGGATCGATCTCGGCGAAGCGATGTCGCGTCGCCATCTACTAACGACGTTTAAATAACGTTATCAAGCGGGCAGAGGCTCCGTCGACGAGTAAACGTTCGACGATAAGAACATACGTACCGACGTATCTGCAAATATCTCGCGTCAATAGGATGGACGTGAAATAATTGGACTGCTGCTCGAGAATAGCGGATAACTGATCGTTGAAGCGAAAAAGCGGGGTGAGGATATCGCGACCGAAATAGATGAACCGCACGCGGCATGCAATTACTCGGTTCGGATGCCTGTGCGAAGCACGTGTAAAATTCTTTGTACTCTAAAACGGGCATATGAGTCGTCGGACGGCTGCGTGTTACGCAACACCGAGTACGATATCGCGAGCAACGAATAAAACGCGTTCGCTAAGCTCAATCCAGGCGACTCGTTTTCAAACGACGACGACGACGACGACGACTACGACGTGGAGGCACGCGTTCAACATATCGGAGATCGGTCACCAATCGTAGTTTCAGCGTCGCGTCTGAAAAACGTTACGTACTCGTACGCGTATCGACCGACGGGTTCGCGCGCGTATGTGTCGAGTCGGGGATCTCTCATTTATTGACCTGATCTCGGCGCGTTGCTAATTGCGCGAGCGATCCGCGTGCGGGAAACTGAAACATCGTGTGAAAGAGACCTTACTACGTGTCGAATTGTCCGTCATAACAGCTCTCGACGCATCGGAACGTCGCCCGAACGAGCGAATCGATAAGGCTCGTCGAAGGAAGCCTTGTACTCGACGACTTTTCTAAGCCACTGTTCCGTGAAACGTTCACGCCACGTATCGAGATCGCGTTGGACCGCGAACAATGTCGCCAATGTCCAATTTCTTTCGACCGTTAACGCGTTTCTCTACTATCCGTCTCGTCGTCGTCGTCGTCGTCGTCGTCGTCGTCGTCGTCGTCGTCGTCTCGTGCGTCCGGCTCACTGCCGCACAACGGTTCGAGTGGCGGTAAACAAATTTAAAAGACCGCTCCTCCGTATGACGAACAGCCAATTACTACAATTAGTCGCGGCGGCAGACCGCTCCTCTTACGTTCTCCTCTGCGTCCGAGGAAGAGTCGCTCGGTAAAATTCGTTGATTCGCGCGTACTCAGAACATACATAGAGAAGCAGACATAGAGAAACGCCGGAATCCAGTATATTCGCCTTGACGACGAACGTAAATACAAGTTGATCGCGCGCGAGACATATAGACCGTGAATGAAAGATACGTGAAGAACGTAACGAACGCTGCTTACCTTTCTCTTCCTTTCCTGCACAAAGTCCACCCTGCGAACCCAGACTTCTTCCGTGGAATCGTAATCGAGGGTGCTGGTGCTGCTCGCCTGGCTCTTCATCTCGACGAGGCTGCTGTCGAAAAATCTCTTGTCCAGATGCGGACTGGGAAGCGGACTGGTTCTCGAGAAGGTCATGCTGGACGAATAGGACGGCGGGTCGGTCGCAGGGAAAGTCATTCCGGTGGTGTATCTCCTCCTCAACGGAGGTTTCGCGGTAGACGTCGGCGTGGTCGACGTCGGCGAAGTGACCGTCGACGTGGTGAACCTGGACGTCGTCGACGTTGTCACGGCGGTGCTGTTCGTAGTCACGGACGTCGACGTGCTCGTCGAGGTCGTCATCGTGGTCGTGGAAGGTGCGGTCGTCGTCTGGATCTTTGACTCGGACGTGCTCGAGGTAGCGTTCGATCTCTGATCGATCCTCTCCGAGCTGGACTTCTCCGAAATGGTCGGACTGGAAGCCTTCGAGGAAAGACTGTCGTCGTTCTTCTCCGTTGTCGGCTCCTCGATCTTCGAGGCGTCCTTGCTCTCGCCTAGGTCCTTGGCGCTCGTCGTTTCCGTGTTTTTCGCTGCAACGTACGGAAGGAGAAGAAACGCGATCAACCGGGGAGACAGCTGATGCGACGATCTCGTTGCGCGATTCCGACAAAGGGAATATTGTTCGGCTCGAATAACGTTCGGCCTGTTGGAAGGCTCGCCGCGATAAATGCCTGTTTCGCCTCTCAACGAGTGTACCTGTGTTCCCTACTACTTCTACTACCGTAGATCGCATCGTCGACCATTCGAGTTCCGACCTATCCAAGTACCGAAAGAGCTAACAGGAGCCACGTGTGATACGTGTACGAACGCGTGGCGCGTTATAAATTATAAACGTGGAACATTGCGCTTCCGGGGACGCGTTATAAATAACTGTCCACTGAACGAAGTAACTGTTTGCGTGTCTACCGCGATCCATGAGGCGAATAATCGTTGCAAAATGTTGCGTCGGTTTCGCGTACGCTTAGATCGATTAGAAAACGAGCCGTGTATGACGAACCGTGCGAACGAAACGTACGACTGGGCGTACGACTATCGCGCGTACGTCGTCGATCGAACGGTAAATCATTATTGATGGAAACGAATCGTTTGATCCGGGTGAATCGGCCGTTCCCGGTCTCGGTGACGATCCGTAAGATATCATTACCTAAGCGGAGGTCCTAAGTGAGTCCGGTAGAAACGGTTGCCAAACGGAACTGTGAACGAAATCACTGGTCGCGCGCTAATCTTAGCTCTCTCATTGAACGGACGAGTGCGAGCTCCTGTTAATAGCTCCTCTTCGAGTGTTTCAATGTCCGAATCGCGTTTCGTAATACGCCGTTTTTCTCGCTTCTGCGAGATGCGTTCGCGAGAGACTTGTTTACTAGCTAATATCGTGGATACCTTATCGATTCCGAAACCAAACCAAAAGAATCTATTGTTTTTACGTCGGAGGATCGTCACTATCTTATCGTGGATTCGTCGATGCAAAGCGTACGCGTGCGCGTTTCCACGGAGGAGTGCGACACGCGGTGTGTACTCACCTATCGTCGTCTTACCTTCTTCGTTCTCGTACTCGTCCTCCTCCCTGCACTCGGACAACCTTCTGCCCCAAGGAAAAGGACTGTGCGTCTGGTTCCTCGACGGCAGCCTGTTCACGTGGGACAGGAAGTAGTGATGAAAGAAACTGTCGACGCCGTCCGAGTCCTCCCCCGAGGCGTCCAGCATGTCCTTGAGCGCGGCCAGCGAAGTGATGGTATTGTAATTGATGGCCGAGATCAAGTCGTCCTCGATGTCACTGTCGTCGGTCGTGTCGTCGTTCTTCGACGTTTCATCTTTCGCGGTCTCTGGTGGTGCAGCAGGTGGCACCGCCGCCGGTTTCGTTTGCTCAGCTTTCGAAGCTTCCGTCTTATCGTCCGAACTGGTCTCGGACTCGTCGTCGGAGGTGCTCGTCGAGGTCGTACTGCTCGACGACTCCTCGTCCTTCTTTCCGTCGGTCTTCTCTTCTTTAAGCTCGTCCTCGTCGGAGCCTTTACACTCGTCCTCGTCCTCGTCCTCGTCCTCGTCCTCTTCGTCGTCGTCGTCGTCGTCATCGTCGCCGCCGCCGCCGCCGCCGTCTCGGGATTTTCCCTTCGATAACTTATACGAAGCCTCGTCATTTTGACCGATGTTCTCTAGGTTCTTCAGGTTCTTGAGCGCCTCCTGTTCACCCGAGTCCTTGCTCATTCTCACGTCACTGTCCTCTTGACCCGTCATTTTTGTATCCTCGCGATTGTCACCAGTCACGTCGCACACGTCTGATTCGTTTCGCTTGTCGCCACCCCCGGAACTCTCCATCGAGGAATCTGTAACACGACGTTTTTCTCGTTTTTCTCGTTTTTCTCGTGTTTATCAAAGTCGTTCTACTCCGACGGAACGATCACGAAATCTCATCTTGGCGGGTCGCAATGACTTGAAACTTTTGTCACCGTTCAGAAAGGAGAGACGAACGCGATCAGCGAAACCCTAGAGAAACGTGGTTCGAACGTGGTTTTTTCCACGATCCGATCCGATCGATCTCGGATCTTGCCGCGTTCGAACCAGTTGTTGTTGGTACGTGCCGCCCCGAATGGGGGTCGATGTCGGAAACAACGTATACGGGGAGCGATCGATGAGCAGTCGTTTAAAAATTGACTTCTGATCATCAGCCATCCCCTTCGAGAACGTGTTTCCGTAGAGGAAAAAAACGTTTTTGCATTCGGGAACGCGTCACTGGCGCATTGCGGTAAGTACGCTCTCTATTTCGTAACCGTGGGAACGTTTGTCTGTATAGCGAGTCGTACTATACAGACTCGCTCCTCCGCTACTTACACCTGGCAGAGGCAGTGAACGAATCACGGTAACGACGAGACGCGAAGAGGGCGAGACGGGAAAGAAGGAAGGTCTCGGGGCCGAGCATTTCACGTATCGACTGGTCAACTCTTTTCCAAGTCGTTCGGACGCGCGTTCGCGACACCCTTTCCCGGGACTCCTACACGTTCCTGTACGGTTGAATCTAGATTCCGTCGATCGGTCGAAATGGTCGACGCGTCTGCCGTAGATACGTTTCGAGCGAAAGAGGACCGTTGGAATCGATCGAAAGCGATCGATGCGTCGCGAGCTCCGGGGATAAAATTTACCGGAAGCCTGGAGCGAGATGGTATCCACCTACCGTGCGCCGCCGCCACCGCCGCCGCCGCCGCGTCGTTTAATGCGATCTCGACGCGAGCAAAGTGACGGCTAGATACGACGATCGGACAGATATCGGCGAAAACATACGCGGATCTTTGGCGGCGTGCCAGACTCATTTCACAAATACTTGTTTACCGCGTGCTAGAGAGCGTGACGTGAAAAAGCTCTGTCTCGCTCGTGGACCGGAACACGTGACGATATCCTCGCACAGACTCGAGGACCCGAGGGATGGGACCACACGTTCCCGAGGAGCGGTCGCGTTCGACCTAGAATCAATTCGCGCGCGCGCACTCTCGGAACGACGGACGATTCCCGTTTTCCAACAAATACTCGTGGTTCCTATTTACGGCCGTCCTCCGTTTAAAGAAGATCTTGACCACGCGACACATCGGTAGAAAGCGGGACAAAGATACGAACGACACGTCGGCACAGAAGCGAGGTTCTCTATTCTCGTATTATCATTGCTATAGTTCTGCATCGATCAACGTACGCGACGACGAATGGGAACGACGTTGGGAACGACGTTGGGAAAAACGGGTAAAAATGGAAACTGACCGCGTGGTCAATGTTTCGCACGGATACGCGTTCTCCGACGTGCAACGGGAACGAGGAAACTCAAAAAGTAAAAGCGATCACGAACAAATTCGATGTGTAGAGTGATGAACGCGTCCGTTCGCTCACGTTCGCGTCGACGAAAAATTGACGACCCCTCCGGAGACATTTGATGGGCCCTCGGCTCCCAGGCCTATACCCCGAGACACGTCGGACGTAAACGACTCCTTGTCTCTCGAGAGCCTGTCAACGATCCGATCTCTTTCGCTTTATGGCGCGTGCAGCCAACAGACACGCAAAACGCGAGTAAATGCACTCATCGATAAGAATAATACGAAGCGACGTGACGCGGCGCCTACTTATACGAGATGACGTAATAAAATCGATCGCGAACACAGGTCTATAGTAGTCTACTATACGTGTATACGTAGGGAACACCGGCGGTGCCTCTGTCGATTCGTCTGTCATCGTCCTCCGATACGGAACCAACTTGGAAAGTGAAATCGACGAGTGTCGCGGATGCACTCCGTGGGAACATTTCGCATTTCATTACCGTCGCCGGAAACACGAGGATGTCCCGCGCGACTGGGCGTCTACGGGCACGGACCGATCTGTCGACGATAAATCCTTGTTGCTAAATCAAGCGATTGTTGCACGAATCGCGCGGTAAACGCCGCCGATGCGACTGCCAGTCCGTGGTCGCGGACCACGTGACAAACGCTGGGAGCACGTGCTCCGCATCAATTGTGATCGAGACCAGCGGCGGCGGCGGCGGCGGCGGCGGCGGCGGCGGCGGCGGCGAGCAGCGTCCCGGGAAACAATTACCTACCAGGCGAACCGACTGGCTTGGCCGTTTCTCGGAAACCAATGACCGATCGCGTAGCCGTCGTTTCGTAAGAAATTTCGAGAGACCTGACCAACAAGTAAATTCTACTTATTGTGGCCGGCGCACTGAACGCGGCCTGCGGCGTTCGATCGAAAACACCGAGAGCGAAAAGAGCCGACGCGACGACGGCGAGAAAAAGCAGACGCAGAGAGGGAAAAAGAGTATCTCGGGAACACGCGTGTAACGTAATTGACACGGCGAGAACAACATGGTTAACACTGATCAGAGGAGTAGATGGGATCTACACTTTGTTCGATTTGACTCCGTGGCTCGCAGAGTCATGTATGTACGTACGAACCTCGTGCCGAGATATCGTATACGCCAGTCGACGATGCTCCGCGTGTAAAAACGCATATATGTATAGACAGATAGATCGATCGAGAGCTCGTGCTCACACAGATATATACGCGTGTATGATCTCACGTTTGGCATCCTAGCGGCGGTAACGCTGGAAGACATACAAGTATCCGACGGTCGAAATCGAAAGAGACTCTGTGGGAATTACGAAACGTGAAGAACCAGAGATGAAGATCGTGTTTGAGACAGGCGTTGATGTAACGCTGGTCGTCGACGAGGATGCCAAAACTGAATCATTCGTGTTCCACCGAGAAAATGTTTGCAACCAACATTTCTGTCTCCGAAACGATACGAAAGCGAGATATTTTTGAGAACGCCGTGCGTCACGAGGGAATCGATCCGCGTCGAAGAGAGCGTGGCGGCGAGAGAAATGTTTTCGGTTCGCTCGATCACGTCGGAGATTCCGCGCGCGCGAGGAGTCGCGCTGCCAATTCTCTTCTCTCTCGTAAACGGCGACGCATCGTCGAGATGGAGAGTCGCGGCGGTCGAGGAAACGACACCACCGGATGACGATCGCGACGACGGCGAGAAGAGCCGTCTTGGCGACCTGGTCGGTAAATCCCCGTCGCCGCGTTGTCTGCAAACGCGGAAGATGGTCTTCCACCACCTCGACCGATTCGGTTACTCATCGTTGGTGACGAGCGAGGCACTTGAGCCAAATAAAGAGCGACGCGGACGCGGCTGCATCGCCAAGACTCGACCGTATCGCGTTGATACGACGATTCTAACGTTATTCGTTGACAAAGAGGCAACTTTGTGTCGGTGCCCGTCTTCTCTCTCATGATCCACGAGCCTAAATAGTTTGCAGCAAATACGTGAGATCTCTCTCACGAGTTTGGCGCAGCGAGCAACGCCTACTTAGGCCTACTACTACGCTGTACCGTGTCGATACCGTTTCGATCGACACGAGGATGATTCCGAGAACCGGAAGGATAAAGGAGGCGACGAACGCGGTAACATCAGACGGTGAAACACCGAAGCGATTTTCCTCGAACGAGATCCGAATGCGACAAACGCGTTTCCGACGATACAGGCGAACATACGTGACGTCGTTCACGTGGATCATTATCTCCCGACGTAGGTGACGTTCATCTTTCTTTTGTAACAATACGGACTAATTAACTAGCTTGGTCTGTCCGACCTTGCTGCGTTAATCGTACTGTTGCGCGTGTCTGCATGTTTGCTTCCGGCGCAATCCCTGATACCGAACTACCGAACCAGCCTGCGCTGCTCAACTATCAACATCACTATTACTAGACTATTACGAATTACTAGAAACGAAATAAAAAACGTAAAGTAATCATGGCATTGTTCCGTAGAGTTTCGAGTAGCCCCCGCACGGCTATCGGGGTGCACGGGGTGTTAGATGCGTCAGCAAAATTTTCATACACATTTAAGAATCACCGAATTCACAGGTAAACACGTTTCTTCTATCTATGGACGAGATATGTACGCGGAAAACAACTACTGCTCTGTGTGTTTGTACGACTTGCGGATACACGACGGAAAGAACCTGCTGACTGAGTAACATTGTTTGAATATTTCAAGTGTCGCGCGATCGTTCCGCCGGTAGTTTGCACAACTAATTAAATTTAAAACACGATGACTACTCTGCGATTGTTACGTGACTCTTCTTTAAAGTATCTCGCGTCACGATGAAGCGTCGATATGGTCCTTGCTCGGAACAGCCGTGCATCTGTTTGAACGAAAGTAACCGCGGTACGTAAAATTTTGTTCTTCACGAACACGAAGGTACGAGCGCAAAAGGTTCGTCGAACCTCCGATTTATCCGCGTGCCTGCGTAACGGTAATTAACTCGGATAATTAATCGTGTAACCGCAACGTTCGTGCAAACGAGCAAGCGATTAGGAAAATATTTATACGCGATCGGGCGCCCCGTGGCTCGTAAAAAAAGAGACGCTCGACGATCGTTCGAGATCTGCTGCTGGCTCGTAACGATCACGAGACGAGAGTGTAAAATTGTTTCTTGAATCTCTGTCATGCTCGAGTCGAGAGGCAACGGGCCTTTAACCGGAGAATTCTGGTTGGTAACACTCGAGAAAATTAACAGACGAATTAAAAAGGAAAAAGATGGACGTCGTAACGATGATTATCTCGAGTAGCTCGTACATTTCTATCGATCGTTCTGATTCTTCAAAATGTGCATTCGCGCAATTTTTATTACTCGTCACACGCGAAAACTCTCGCTCGTTTCACTTTGCTAGACTCACGGCGAGAACAAATCTGTAAGAGAACAATCAGTAGTAGTAGTAATAGTAGTATCTGTACTGACCTTCACGCGACACGGTTACGGTATCCAAAAATGTTGTTCAGGAACGACGGTGGTCAACGATTCCCGATCCTGTCTGTGTACGAAGAGAGTGTCCTTTCGACACGTACGACAGCGTCTTCCGACGGCAACAATCCTGCCCCCGTACAAAAACTGCTTTTCGATGGAAACGGCTACTGTTTCGAATCGTTTCACTGATTGTTTACACGCTCACGGAATAATTTTTCTCATCACAGCACGCCGTTAATAAACGGGCGACGACGCCGGCGATCCTATATCCGCTCCAAGAAGACGCGTCAAGTACAAACTGCCGCCGAGATCCAAACACTGAACGATGCGCATCGATCCGATCGTTACGTCGATCAAAGTGAAATCCTGAATCTCGTTCCGCGATAAGTACGTTTCGCTCGCGTCGGGGTTAGGTTTCGAATCGAATACAAAAAAATCGTGCGACCACTATTTAAACGATGCCGACGGAGAATTCCTGTGATCCGTCAGCACCCGTCGGCCGTACTTTTTCCTCTCGTTCGATCGTGTCGCACTTTTTACCTGCGGTCTCTCGCATCTCGAACACATCATGCGTGTCAACTTTTAAGCACATTCGCGATCTCAGAATTCGACGTTTAGCTCGGCGTAAAATCGGCCGTCCGTTTCACCAGAGATCACTCGATTCGTTGGAGTCTGAAGAACATCTTGTACGATCTTTGGCGTGCGTACAGACGTATGGCCACGAATTTTCCACCGTGTATCACCGCCGCCGAGCGATCCGCGAACTTGTCTCTCACTGGAGCTCTGTTCGACGTCGTATTGACCGGTTTGTTTTTGTCGGAATTCTCCCTGCACGCCCACGAAACGCGTTCGATTCGACCTCTTGCAATGGCGAATCTCCTCGTTTCTTCCGGCGACGATCGTTTATCGGCTCTCGTCGAGTACACGCGCAATCGTGTAACGTTCACACGTGAAACTGGAGAATGATTCGTGCGGCCTGCCTCTTCCCGAACTTGTCATTCGACGACGATCACGAAAGACGCCTTAACCTAGACGCGTCGTAAAGATGCCGAGGCGGATTATTACGTACGTATTCAAGGGCGCTCCCAATTTTCTAAATGCGACCTCGATCTTACGTTCTACGAACGTGTGCAAGTACAGTGATGAGTAATGAACGTCGTTCCGGTGCCGTTTCCACCGTAGAGGGACGACTCGTCGTCAGAAGCGCTTCGACAAAAACGGTCGTATCCTATTTTCGCGCGAGTGTACAGCTGATCACACGCTCCTTATGCCGGACGGACGGACGGACGAACGGACGAACAAACGAACGAACCACCGACCGTAAAAACTGTTTTTTTCTGCTGACTGAAGAAGGCTATGGTGCCGCGTCGTAGGCCGTGCAGCGGCCGGCGCGCAAGAAACCGGTGGTGGCAGCCGCAGAAACTGCACATCCCCGATCGCGCATCTTTCCTGGAGGCCTGGCGAGAGCCAACTGCTCCGCGCGTTTATATGCCAACATTCAAGGCAGTCACCCACGAACCCACACACGACCGACCAGCTGACCGAACCGACGGACGTCCGACGTGTAATATTATAACACACGCACCGACTCGTTCGCGCTTCACGCGGCTTCGCACGATTAAACGACACTTGCCCGTGCAAGTACGGAACACTGAAACGCGGCACTCGACGAAATAAAAACCGAGAAAAGAGAATTCGGAGCGAACGAACGAAACTATCGTATGTCCTCCTTTAATGCAGTCGCCATCTCTCGTTTACAAACTTCCGGACGCGTCGAAAGGGGGCACCACTGTCCACGATCGCGCTGACCTCCAAACGATTTTGGGGTTCCACGTGGCGCCACCTAGCTTGGCTCCGCCGAAGACGTTAGAGCTAGGCTAGGTCATGAACGCTAGATGGCGCCACGTGCACGTAAACATGCCGCGAACAGAATAAACGTGGTATGTACACTTGTTGTTGGAATAAATTCTTATAATGCAACAACCCTAATGCGTTTCATCACTCGATTACGAATTTTGTTCGTACCTGTGACCATTGTCTTGCGACAAATTCACTGATCCCCCGAGCAGACGATCCATTCTCAGCAACTATACATGTGCAGTATTCCGACGGTGGAATATTTTACAAAAATTTGAACTTAATCTTCTCTCCCATCTCTTCATACGTCCGAGGTCGAATCAGTTTACTTGTTTCGTTTACCATACAACGCGTACCATATATCGTTTTGGAATTTCGACTATGAATTCGTTGACGATATTGTCGTCGTTCTTACATCAGAGACTGATTAGAGAGCGCGCAGTCGCGATATTCGCCGCACATGCTGGAGTGTGTATATAACTACACGAGCAGCAGTAAAAGTACGTGGAAGAATCGTGGAATCCACGTAAGTACTACACGTGTTCATTACAAATACCGAAACAGATGTGAATATATACCGGTGGTGAGTTACTCTCGTAATTTTTACATTGTGTGCACAGTGGAAAGGAAGAACTCTCTTTGATGGGTGCTCGTCTCTTGTTCAAAAGATTGGGAGACGCCAACTAATTAATACTTCTGATCAAGGTCGTGAATTGAAACAACCATGTGTGGAATTTGGGCTATCTTTGGATTAAACGTGCCGTCTTTAACTCACGTCTGTACGAACTTTGAGAAGATAGCACACCGCGGCCCGGAAGCGTTCAAAATCGAATTTGACCAAGCAGTTAAAGTACAATATTCACATCGTTATCGGACCGTTATAAATTGTATCGTATATGTTTAAACTCGTCTCGCTTGCCTCGCAGAACGGTTACTTTGGATTTCATAGACTGGCAATCGTCGATAATCTTCATGGGATGCAACCAATGAGACTTTACAAACATCCGCATTTATTTTTATTATGCAACGGCGAGATCTACAATCACAAAACCGTAAGTTCCGTTGTCTGTCCAGATTCGATTCTTCTTGCATCGTCTGCATTACGACAAGGTTGACGTTGCAGATCGGTCTACAACACTGTTACTCGTATGTCACGCAATGCGACGTGGAGGTGATAATACATATGTACGAACATCTCGGCGCCGAAAATGTCGCCGGTATGCTCGATGGCGTTTTCGCATTCTGCTTGATGGACATAAAAAAAAAGAGGATCCTTATTGCCAGAGATCCGTACGGGGTCAGACCACTTTTCAGATTACGTTCCGACGACGGACAACTCGCAGTATGCTCGGAGAGCAAGGTAAGCCGGGCGCGATGCAGTTCTAAACCATCCATCGTATTATGATCCTCGATGTTTAGGGGCTCATGGAAATGACGAAACAGATAAAGTCAAAGTGGACATTGGAACCGTTCCCTCCAGGTTTTTACGAAGAATACGAAATTTTAAACGATGGTAGAACAAAATTACTGAGCAAAGTAAATTATCACAAACCTGGGGACAAGCCCAAGTTTCAGACCTCTGTCGTTTACAATGGTTCGTTTACAAAACGTGTGAAAGAACCGACGGTAGCCGCGGATGTATACGAGATAATATAGTGGTGATGAATTCGATTTTAGAGTTGAGTAGTCTAGACGTGCATGCAAACATAAGAAAGCTACTCGTAGCTTCGGTGAAAAAGAGATTAATGGCCGACAGAGAGGTCGGATGTTTGTTGTCAGGTGGTTTGGATTCAAGTTTGATCGCCGCTCTACTCGTCAAGTGTGCCAAAGAACTGAACGTATCGTACAGAGTGAAAAGTTTCGCGATCGGTATGGGAGACAGTCCAGACGTCGTCGCGGCTAGACAGGTCGGTGATAATAACATGTCGTTTCTCTCTTTGTTCATCCATCATTATCCGTTCCTCGCAACGACTGAATTAAACGTGACGTTTGACGTCAGGTCGCGGAGCACATAGGGACGGACCATCACGAAATAATATTTTCTGAGAACGACGTCGTCGACGTTTTAGACGAGCTCATTTATCAGTTGGAGACCTGTGATATTACCACTATTCGAGCTTCCATCGGGTAAGTCGTGTGCGCGAGCCACCGTGGTCGATGATCGTACGATCAGACTAATCGGGTGTCAATTGCAGCATGTACATCATCTCGAGATACATTAAACGTAACACGAATACGACTGTGATATTCAGCGGGGAAGGTGCCGACGAACTGGCGCAAGGATATATTTATTTCAGAGATGCACCCAACGCGATGGAAGCTCACGACGAATCCGTTCGATTGTTAAAAGACATTTACTTGTTTGACGGCTTGAGAGCCGACAGAACGACCAGTGCATTTAGCTTGGAACTAAGAGTCCCGTTTTTAGACCTTCAATTCACCAATTACTACCTCTCGTTGGACGCTGCTTCCAGGCAGCCACAAGGTTCGATCTCCGTAGATAACAAAGAACCGACAACGAATCGGCTTATAATTCAAATCTCGTTCAAATCCATCTCGCAGGAGGAATTGAGAAACATCTATTAAGATCTGCGTTCAGCGACACGAATCTCTTACCGTCCAACATATTGTGGAGACACAAGGAAGCGTTCAGCGATGGTGTAACGTCCGTTAAAAGATCTCTCTTCCAAGTCATACAAGATATCGTGGACACTCGTGTGACGGACGAGGAATTGGACAAGGCCTATATAAAGTACCCTCACTGTACACCGAGAACAAAAGAGGCTGTTTACTACAGGTAACAGAGAACGTGTCGCATCGCACCTTTATACGCACCTTTAAGGATCGATCGTTTCGAGCATTTGAAATCGCATCGATCCCTATACTCCGTTTCAGGCAAGTCTTTGAGAAGCATTACGGGGGACAAGCCGAGAATTTTGTGCCATATTTTTGGATGCCACGGTGGGTCAAGGTTCACGACCCGTCTGCTAGATTTATTGCTCATTACGCAGCGAAAGACGAATAAAGGACGAGACTCGTCAGGCTTTACAAAAATTGTACAGACAGATAATTAAATACATTGTTACATGCTGTTAATCGATGCAGATAAAAAAATGTTCACGCAAATAACCGTGTTCGATCTTCTGTATTCCGCGTATCGCTGGTAAAATAGTACTTTTACGACGTAAGTCGTAGGGAAGACGGAAACGTAGGATACCACCGTAACATTGTTTACGTTGTTAACAAAAAAAAAATATATTCTCTTGTCATTACCCCTGGTGGGACTCGAACCCACAATCCCCGGTTTAGGAGACCGATGCCTTATCCATTAGGCCACAGGGGCTGGTGAGAACACGTCTCCGACATCTACAAATAGAGATACGATGATTTATAAGAACACGAAAAAATTCTTTTAACCGAGCGACCTATATGTACGAGCATCGTTTCTTCAGGATTTATTTCCCTTTATCATGTGATTCATGTCTATGTACGCTCCGTCGGATGATACGAATTATCAATAATAGTAACAGCTGTCGTAAATAGGTTCGTTCCAAGATGGTGGACCACACGTTTTACAGTGTTCGTGCATTCGATATTGAACTAAACGTCAGAATGTAATTCACAGTTAAATCGGATTAATAAGCGAACACACGACCGCAGTAAGCTGACGCTTTTACAAGAACGTTTTAAACTATGTACGTATTATACACGTTCTACGCGTCGGTTTTAGATAATGGTTATGATGTCACCGAGGCAAAGTTGGTTTCTCTCAGGCATAGTAATGGCCTCGGTAACGTGGGCTTTCAGCCTTTATCTTTACTCGAAATTATCCCAAAACAACAACACTGCCAATCCTACGACGATCGTGTTGGACAGTTCGAAATTCGGCAAATTATCAGCGCTCGATCCGAAGATCTATAACGATGTACAGCACAATTTGCAGAACAATCTAATCGCTCACCGCGATAAAGAAACTGCGATAGGCAAAAGTATCTATAATCTTAAGGGAAATAGTTATAGAAATAGCGATAAGCTGTTGCGACAACTGCAGCCTGTACCGGTGAAACCTGCTGTTACACTGGGACAAGGTATATACGGACGTATGATTAAATCATATCGTTTTTGTTCTACTTTGTTTGATTTTTTTCATATATCATCGAACGTTTCAGAGCGTTGAACATTTTTTTACAGGTTTGAGCGACGAACTGGGAATGGTAAAAAATTTCGAGGATCAATGGAAACGGGACGAAGGATATAAAAATTTCTCCTTCAACGTTCTAGTGTCAGACAATATCGGTTTGCACAGAGAGTTGCCCGACACCAGACACAAATTGTGCAAACTGCAAGAGTATTCGAACCGACTGCCGAACGCCAGTATCGTCATCTGTTTCTACAACGAGCATTACACGACGCTCTTAAGATCCTTGCACTCTATCGTCGACAAAACTCCTGCAGATCTGTTGCACGAGATCATCTTGGTGAACGATTGGAGCGACAGCGAAGCTCTACACGAGCAGGTTAAAGCGTACACTTCCGGTGACAATTTCAACGGTACGGTCAAGTTGTTTAAAACGGAACGGCGAGAGGGATTGATTAGGGCGAGAATGTTCGGCGCGAGGAGAGCGACTGGGAAAGTTCTGATCTTCTTGGACAGTCACGTAGAAGTGAACGAGAAATGGATAGAGCCTCTACTCTCACGGATCGCTCACTCGAACACTATTGTACCGATGCCGGTCATCGATATAATTAATCCGGACACGTTCCAATACACCAGCAGCCCTCTCGTGAGAGGTGGATTCAACTGGGGCTTACACTTTAAATGGGACAATCTGCCGGTTGGAACGCTGGCGCACGACCAAGACTTTGTAAAGCCTATAAAGTGAGATTTTACGTTCATCTGTTCTCTGTGTGATCTACCAGTCCACGACTTTCTGGTACGTATACGTGTATATATATATATATGTAGCTATGATTAAACAGGTCCCCGACGATGGCCGGAGGATTGTTCGCGATCGACAGAGAGTATTTCACAAAGTTGGGAGAGTACGATGCTGGAATGGACATCTGGGGCGGCGAAAATCTCGAAATCTCGTTCAGAGTAAGATTCGTTTGACCATACGCGTCTTCCGATTTTATTGCTGCTGCTGCTCTGTTGTTTCCGCAGATATGGATGTGCGGCGGCAGTATCGAATTGATACCGTGCTCGAGAGTCGGGCACGTGTTCAGAAGGAGGAGACCATACGGCGCGTACGACCAACACGATACCATGCTGAAAAATTCGTTGCGCGTCGCGCACGTATGGCTAGACGAGTACAAGGATTACTTTTTAAAGGGCATCAAGCAGATCGATTACGGCGACATCTCCGACAGGCTAAAGTTACGAGAACGATTGAATTGCAAGAATTTCGAATGGTATTTGAACAATGTGTATCCCGAGTTAGCATTGCCAGATGACGGCAACGATAAATTGAAAGACAAACGTCGGGTCAGAGTCGAACAGAAACCGATGCAACCGTGGCACTCTAGAAAAAGGAATTACACCGACGAGTATCAAATCAGACTTTCGAATTCCGCGTTATGCGTTCAAAGCGAAAAGGATATCAAAACGAAGGGCTCAAAACTTGTCCTGGCACCGTGCTTGAGAATTAAATCGCAGGTTACGATCGAACGTTTCACGAGGCGATCTACGATTCAAGCTTGCTATAACGATATTTATAACTTGTTTAGATGTGGTACGAGACCGACAAGAAAGAACTGGTACTAGGACAGATGCTCTGCATGGAAGCGGTCGAAAGAATACCGAAACTTGGCAAATGCCACGAGATGGGAGGCAATCAAGAGTGGCTTCATAAAAATGCTGTAAGCATTTCAATTCGCAGGTCGCAATGCTTTACGATTAACGATACAATCATTTTGTTCGTAGAACGGTACACCTGTTTATAACATGGCAGCTGGTACGTGTTTAGGAGTGCTGCGAGGTGCAACAAGTGCTCAAGTTATAATGGATCTGTGCAAGAAGACTGACACGAGCTCCATATCGTGGGATTTGGTACGCTCAAAAATTTACTCGAACGAAATGAGATGATACCGGAGAATATCAGAACGAGAAAGAACGAAAAAGAGTACTATACTATGGAGAAAATGAAATTGGTAGAACGATAAATTCCGAGGGGTATTTGTGATATAAATCGGCTTATTGTACAAGTTTTTCGATTCTTTTTATACTTTACCGTTTATACGTTCTTCTTTTTATAAAACCATGTGGCTTCAAATAAACACGAGATCGTTGACATACCTTTCTCACTTTTTATCGTCTTCTTATTTACTTACAGCCAATCCAAAATGGTTCGCACGATTTCGTCCGTCCACGTTACCCTCTCCTCGCTGGCGTCACGTGACCCCCACACCATGACGACCGTCGGCCATTTGCTTTTCCTCGTGCAGTGGGACACCGCAAAACAAAACACTATCCGGCGGGTTGGTCGTTCAGTCAATAATCACGGATCAAAGTGTAATTTAAAACAATGACCACGTCCAAGGAGTTAAATGTAGCCAGAAAGAGCCTTGTCACATCGCTTGGAGAAAATGCAAAACTGTAAGATATACTTGAACGAACGACATTTACACAGAAATTATTGTACTGGTTAACACCGACTCTAGTAAAGACCCCCTTCAGATTTTGCGAAATTTTCGTTTTTTGCCAATAACTTCCAAACCGTTGGATCTACGGGAAAATTGCATAGGACCATTTTGTAGAGGACGACGAGATCTACAATTTCCATATAAAAGTTTTTCGCTAGCATCAATATTTAATGAGTTATTGACGAAAAACGAAAAAACAGTTTTTTGCAGATTACTCGTAAACTATTGATGCTAGCGACAAACTTTTATATGGAAATTGTAGATCTCGTCGTCCTCTAGAAGAAAGGTCTTATGCAATTTTCTCGTAAATCTAACAGTTTAGGAGTTATTGAGGAAAAACGAAATTTTTTGTCAAAAGTTCGCTGATTCGGCGGTGGGAAGGTCGGATTTCGTCAATGGCAATAAAATGCCAAATAATCATACTTAACTCGTTAAATACTGGAGTTAGAAGAAATGTGCACTATTTTTTACTCTCTCTCATATACTGTGACTTATAATTGGGGATATTTGCCTTCTCGATAGGTACTTTGAAAAGATGAAACTCTGGTTTCAAATGAAGGTACTTGATATTATTGTAAAGTTCGTCTCCCACCATTGTTCGATCGTAAAAATACGTAAACAACGTTGCAGACGACGAAAGAGGAATTTGATTGCGAAGCGAGGAACATCATGACCGAAGATCAAGTTCATCTTCACAACGAGTTTCTTCTCTGTTTATTCAACAAGGTCAGAGGCCTGGCTGCTGCGACACCTGTTCGGAAGATAGATCGAGATAAAGCGATGAAAGAGAAAAAGTTGAGATTGAAACGGAAATATAAAACGGACAAGTCTAATTTCGAGGTAGAAAATTTACGAGCATTCTAGCGCAAAGAATTTGTCACCCGGTGGCGGTACCCAGCAACGTGTTTGTTATTTTATGTTTAGCCCGCGGACGTGTACGTCGAGGTACTGAGCCAAACTTCGTCGCCGGTGGGAGACGAGCCTATCGGAGCTAATCGTTCCAGCGCCCAAGAGCTCGTCCTGCCCGACAGGACGTTCGTTTTGGCGAGATTGATGCTCGCAGCGTGGGAGAACAATATGGACGGAGCAGAGGAAAATACCGCGCACATAGTCATAGCGGCTACACAGATCTTTTTGAAGAACATACTCACAGCGATGTTCACAAGGAGGAAAGGGTACGCGGTCAGAGACGGTTCTTTCATTTATAATATCGGCGAGCCAGTGCCTAGCTCGTGGAAAAGGAATTCCGCTTGTGCACTACGATCGTCCGAGTACAATGCAACGGAAATAATAGATCCTTACGGTCAAGTACCTGTGACGAAACCGAACATCGAAGAAGCGGAACAAGCCACAGCTTTTGTTTACGCGTGTTCTCCGCAAACTATTCCTCCGTCGTTGAAACCTGTTAACACGGCCGATTTGCAGCATACGTTAAAAGTACGTAGAGAGGTAGTAGAGTAGGCATGATTCGACGTTTCTTGATTTTTAATACAAGTTTTATTTCACAAACAGATTTATAAAAATCTTGTTAGCAATCATACCGTATATGCGACCAACATGGAACGTTTATTTACACATGTGACGCATCCGACGTGGGAAGATCTCGAAGCCAAGAGGCTGTGTCACCGACCTGTATCATAATTATTTGTTAAACGCTTTGTAAAACGAATTTATACGCCCTCACGCTGTCGAGATCGCAGCACTTGGCCATCGATTTAACATATGGAATATACATCTCTCATCGTTTCGCAATTTCACATTCGGATTTGGAATTTCCCGGCTTTCGTAATATACTTGACACCTTTAAACGGTTTGTACTTCTCCCCGTACATGTCCAGCCGATTCACTTTTAAACCGGAAACCGCCAATTGATTGATCGTAAAATGAACCTGAAACGGTATCCGGCAAGTTTCAACTCGGCTCCACCAGCGTACGGTGTACCACGATGTACACACGGTGTAATAATACGTACGTTAATCGCAGGATTAGACTCTGTCACGCTCGCGGAATTCTGTATCGTGATCTGAAAACGAGAAACGAACAGTCAATATCCCGGTCTGTACGTACGTCGGTTTTTAGCTTAAAAAATTCTTATACATACCGAGCCTCGCAAGTTCGGTAATTTCGAAACGTCTATCCGTCCAATGTCCCATAATAATATTTTGCTGACGGGATCGAACGAGTATTTTCCCTGGTTCGGAGTGAGCGTACAATTCAATACTATTTTCGGCATAGGAATTTCTAACGTGACATTTTCTACCTGCAATTGTACATGTGTGTGTGTATATATATAAATTGTACATTCAAGATCAGTTTTTCTATTGTCGTGTCGTAGAAGCAAGAACGATAGATACGGTTCTCCCAACGGTCTGTTTCGGTCCCACAGTTATGTCCAGTCGTCCGCCTCCTGGTTCTTTCAGACTGATGTTGTGCCTCACGTATATCGGAATTGCTACGATACTTTGTGAACCTATGTGATAAGAGAGAAGACGGAAATTACCATCTGGCGGAATGAAGGACAGTATTCGCTCGGACTGAAAACAGACAAGAATATTTCGTAGACTTTCGTAGAGATTGCAGTTTCCATTCTCCTCTCCTCTTACCTCCCATCTTTTGAATCGGACGCAAGGATGAAAACTGACGTCGTCGAACAGTCTGGGGTTCATGAACGAAAGCGTTAAATCGGGCATACCGCTCAACTTTATACAACAATCGATCTGTAATTTGAACGTTACGTTACACACGTGATACACACATGGACGATGAGCAGCGGGTCACAGCACGGAGTAAAACTGCACGGATCTGTCGTGATGCTCGTTCAGTTTTGCTCTCTACCGTAATAATCTTTCACCGAAGCAAGACCATACGTATCCCTGGATCTCGGCGAACACGGTCGCGCCAGTCCTATCGATGATCGCGTCCACTTCTTCCACGACGTCAAAGTATGCTTCGTTATTCGTGTATTTCACACCGGTCCTCCTCCAAGGAACGTTAGACAATTGTCCACTTGGCAGCGTCGCGCTGACACTATCGTTTACGCGTAATTAGATCTGCTCGTCCAGTACCGTGCACGCACACACCAGCGATACTTACTTGGATTTCCCTGTTACGGTATTTGCGATGGTTCTCAAGATATTTGGTGGTTTAATGAGTTCCTTCAAAATGTTCGATTCGGTGGCTAATGGGAAACCATTGTCCAGCATCTCGTCCAGTAGTTCGTAGACTACCACGTAGTTCTCCTTTATGATAGTTTCTGTACACTCGCTGAAGTAATCTTCAAAAGTGTCCACCACTCTGTGCAGAAATTCTATCACGAACAGTGGTGGAACTGTGAAAGAAGGAATGCTCTGAATCAGTGCAGAGATCGAAATAGTCTGCGCGTCTCTCTCGATTCGCAACGAACCCGGGAATACCTTCTGTCATGCATACGGCGACGAAAAACATGTTACAACGATATATGCTGATGAGATAGTGATGAGGAGTGGCTATTACTGGCGGTGTGTCTTCGGGAGACAGAACTCTTCGCTGTTGATCGAAGAAGTAGTCGCAGAGCGATCGTGCGACGGCACTTTTCCAATGTTTCTCCATGAACACGTCTCTGAACGTGAAATATTGTACGAGGAATCATTTAATAACCAAACGTCTGTCGAATTTCGTGTTTTTCTCACGGGCGAATATACTTACCCTGACGAGTTGATAATAAACAGACTATGTATCATTTTTCTCGCAAGTTATACTCCGCACTGAAATTGATGATTGAAACGTTGTATCCGTGTCGATTTTATTCCGATTCTCGTTCGACACATGCCTATTTACAAATTGCACCAACACGAACGTTCGTGTGTGTGACGTTCACCCATGGAACCGAACGTGTCATCCACAGACTCAGATACCTCTGCAAAATTTAGCTCTAGTAGCACCATCTGGAACCACCGTAGGGCAGAACTCGTATCGGTCAAGTTGACGACGATTAAAATAGACAATAAAATAATATATAACGACAGTGAAACGAACGCGTAATAATCGATTCGAAGGAATAGATGTGATCAACGCAATTTGCCACGTGTCACCGCGCGTGTACTGTTATCATCCAGTTGAATTTCGACTTACGATGGATGAAATTAATAGCTGGGAGGAAATAGAAAACAAAGGTAAATCGTTTCGTATTCTCGTTGTTTGGTACTTATTGAGCGCGCGTCGATTCAGGTTCGTTCCATTTCAGAATTCTTTAAACAATTCATCGACGGTGAATCGAAAAAGAACGACATCGGTCAAGTGCTTTCGGTGGCACAGCAGATAAACAAACTAGGACAAGGTATACGGAAAGAATTAATTGATCGATCAACGTTACAAGAAACCTGGTATATTAAACATTGTGTGAACTCTTTTCCGATAGCTATCGAAATACTCAACGCCGAATTACAAAGGCAGGTGTTGGCTAATCACAAAGATTTGTTGTCGCAAGCGACATGGGTGGAAAAATTAGTAGGCGTACTTTCAGTGATGCAATCGCACGTTCAGGTATGTAAAAAACGACGTCGGAATCGAAGCAAAAATTGTCCTCTTTCCACGAGACGAATAAATTTCGTTCCCAGAGTCTTCTGTCAGCCGTAGAACGTTTACGTGGAAAAATCATCGATCCTTTCAACAGAATCGAGACGCAGACGATCGTATTAGCAAGGCTTCACGAGACGTCAGATCTGTTGAGGAGAGTAGCCAGGATGCAACACTTATCGAAACGTTTACACTCCCAAATGACGACGAACAACATGCAAGGACCCGACATTATAAAAGCTGCCAACAGCCTACACGAACTTGGTACCCGAAATTCAATATATTCTTCGTTCATCTCGCGCAGAAGAAACACGATACGACGTGATGTCTATGACTTGTAGAGCAATTAATGACGGATACCGATTTAAACGGGCTGGACGTTATTGCCGATGATCAGCAAGCTGTAAAGTCTCATAGAGCGACGGTACAGAGAATAGCGACTCATACGTTGTCCCAAGGATTGCAAACGATGGACAGAACAAAAGTATGCGGGAACAACACAACACGATTCTCGGCTGCGTTCCATGGTTATTGATCAGAGAATTAATTGATGACCATCAGGTGAGCACGGCCGTGCAAGTGTTTCAAAATCTGGGGATCGTAAATGGAGCCGTGGACAATATCATAGATTCTGTTCTGTCAGAAATCGAGAAGATCGCCACGGATTCGTTAGACGTGACTCTGGCAACGAATCAAGATACGGGAAAAAGAGCAGCACCCGGACGAGCTGCCATTCCTTCCCCGGGATCTTCTGGTAATTTACGCACGCGAATTTGGGAGAACCTCGAAAGGCTGTTTCAAGACACCCTTTACACGCACTGCTTACAAGTAATCGAAAGTAATCTTGTCGAAACGCTTCCTTCTCTCTCTCTCTCTCCCTCTGTTCGACTCGCTCATGCTCAACTGTGCACGCTAGATCGAGTTGCTGCAAAGAATACTGTTGGAACATCATGCCAAGGGATTGGATCGACTGTCACAGCAATTTTGGAACAAAGTCAATGGTCTACTCTCGAAAGTATTAGTCGAACGCGCACAAGGTAAATGCTGATTAACGATTCTCTCACGATCGTGAACGACCGTCATCTTCGCGTCACTTTTAGGATCGTCGTTCGTGAAACAGGCGTTGGAAGGCGAATACCCAAAATTCTTACGAATATTTTTGGATCTGAGAAAAAGATTGAAGGAAAGATCGCAAAGTATTGGGATTTACAATATCGAGTAAGGAAGAAGACGATTGGAGTACACGAACTGGAACTAAAATCGATCTCGCGCGATGTAATTTTATTGTATCTCGTTTCAGTCACGACGTACTGTTACCGTTTGAAAATGCATATCTATCGCGTTCGGTGTCGCGCTTGTTAGATCCGGTGCACAACATGTTCTCGGGCGAAGGACTGCCCACACAGGATGAAATTGACAGTCTCATACGCACGGTGACCAAGTAAATTGAAACATGTATATATATATATGTATCTATCCTTCGCTTCTCGTTCGACGTTTCATCGTGTTTTAACGTAATTTCCAGTGAACTGAGCGTTTCGTTGGTCGACGATGGCCTGTCGACGGTAGTCGCCCGTAACGTGGGAAAGGCCATAAGACTGTTTTGTTTAAAATGTGAGCAGGGACTGCTCGTAGGCGGAGAAGCCAGTCAAGTGATCGATACTCCGACGACGGTGCAACAAACGAACGTGTCCCTCGCGAATCTACTGTATTACCTGTGCAGCCAAATAAGTCGCGTAACAGCGAACTTGTCTGGTTTGCCGAGCGAAGGAAACGCAGTGATCTCCACGGCCCTCAAAGAAATAGACACGTTGACCAAAAACATTTTATCGCCGCTATTGGCGTCTATCGCTGACGCGATCGAGAGTATCATTTTAACGATGCACGACGACGCAGAGTTTCGAGAACCGACGAGCAGTAGCAGCAGCAACAGCAGCAGCAGCAGTCCATTGGGAAAAGAGATCAACTGCTCGCTGTACATGCGCGAGCTTCAGGGATTCATTTTACGCGCCGTGAACACGTTTCTCGTACCGTACAAAAATCAAACGATAGTCGCCGAGTGCTGCAAATCTGTTACTTCGCGATGCATCGAGCTGTTCGTGAGGAACGCTTGTTTGTTGAGACCCCTGACCGAGTACGGACGGGCCAAACTCATCGTCGATTTCGGTCAGATAGAAGTAGCTGTCGCTCCTTTGTGTAGAGCGGGACAGTTGGGATCGTCGGAGCAGCAACAATACAGAACGTTACGAGCACTGAAAGCGTTGCTTCCGCTCAGTCCCGACGAAATAGTTCAAAAGGTCTTGGAAGGAGACGGGGAGTGCGGCGTACCTCCTTCACTCGTGCTTTTACATTTGTTCTCCACGGCACCGCCCGAATTACTTTCTCCTCATCAGGTACGAGTGTTGCTCGTTGTGTTAGTAGGAGCAGAGCAGAATATATGTAAAACCGGTCGTTTTTCACGTTTTTAATTATGATTGATACAGAGCGCGGGCTGGTCAGTGACTCGATTGTCCCAGTGGATGGACAAAAACACGAACGAGAGAGATCGTTTAGCGTTCTGTAGCGGGCCACTGGAACGTTATCAGTTGACGGTCAGGCAACAGAACCTCCCGACGTTCCACCCGCTATTTCCGTTGATGAGAAGGTTAGCCAATTTAAACGAACATTAATCTGTCTGTACAATTGACCAATCGGCTGTCAAATAAAATCAGTGTATCCTGTTTAGCGTTATCTTATATATTTTATTATATTTTAATGTGTTCCTAGCGTGGAACGTGAGAAGAAAACAGATTTTACAGATAGGAAGATTTTACAGTAGAGTAATTCTAACGGTATATCAATCTCGGAACGATATTCGTCTTGTATACACAAATTCCTACGATTAACGTAATACTGAAGAACACGGGCCAATTCGCCTTATGTTCCTTCTTCGGTCCGATATAGGTTGGCGCAGGAATCTCGTTTTCCTTCCGTTTTTTATTAGAAAAGTTCTTCATTCGCGTGAGCTCCTTCTCGAGAGTAGCAAGAGATTTTTCTGCCTTTTCCATCTCTTCCTCGTAGCTACGTCGTTGTCTCTCATCGATCAAATTCGTATCGTTGTAACTTTCCAAAAGGTTGTTTCTAACGTACGAGAAGCTCGAACCGATGACAGCAAGTTGCTTGACCGTTGTGCCCAATGAGATTATACCGTCATACAGTGTGTAAGGCGATAATGGGTCCATTTTTCCGAGACTCTTCACGCTCCACTCCTTACAGTGAAACTCGTGGAGCTTTTCCATGAACCAGACTCGATGTGCACGAATATCCATCCCTAATTTCATCAAGTCCTTATCGGTCAATTGTAGGAACGTTTTCAGGCTTATTCCTCGAAAATTGCACGTGTAACTGTCTAAATTCATGGCATGTAACATCGTATATACGTCAGAATCCACGGTACGTTCGTCTATGGTCGTCAACGATGGGAATTGGTCTCTCCAAGTTTCTAGCTTGGATATTTCATAAGTGTCCGTCGTCTCTTCTTCCGTAGTAGTGTCTCTGTAGTTTAACAATGACAAAATCTGTACAGCGGTCAAGTCAGCATTAGTTTAGTATTTCGTATTTTATACCTATTCCCACTGTTCTCAATGCTCACCTTATCGTATCCTTTCTCAGCGGCGATATCGCTCGCGGTTAAATCATTGCAATCGGTCAACGTGGCGTCAGCCGTGTGTTCCATTAATAATTGAACGATTTCTGGTCTGTTAGCTATTGTCGCGTACATCAGAGCCTGAGAGAAACTTATTTATGACATCGACGCTATAAACGATTGTACTGAATTTTTCGAAAGAAACTTACAGTTTGATTCCTATTGTCACTAGCATTGATATCCTTTACGTGCTTCAAAAGTTCTATAAGAAATTCTGGCTCTTGAGACTTACAAGCGTACATTAGAGCCGTTTGTCTGCAAAGGTAAAAATAATATTATTTGCGAGACAATCGTGTTAAGGAGTACTGTAAAGAATCAAGGAATACCTTCTTTTATCACTGGTGTTTACATCGGCTCCCAGTGCGATGAGTAGCGTTAAACATTTCATACGCTCCTCCGTCGTACCTCTGCTACAATTGCACAGAGCCATTAACGGTGTGTAACCCTCTGAAATATCGTATAAAAAGATGATAGACCGTCGGGCGGTTTAAATAAAAAATTCGATGAAATACCTTTGTGCCTATTGACGTCAGCTCCATTGTTCGTAAGGTATTCTATGATCTCTGATCGTCCTTCGGAAGCGGCATACAAAAGTAGAGTCCATCCAGTGGTCAGGAATTGATCTACCTCGTGCGCTACACGTGGAAACGTAACACAAATTATCAACGCATTCTCGTATTCAAACATTTCAAATATATTCTCTCACGTGAACAATTACATTCGAGATAATCAGCAATCGCGCTTAATTGTCCCTCCGTGCAAGCGTTTATCACGTGGGACTCGAAAGCCTCCTCGTCGACGTACATGGTTTCGTCGATCCGATCGATCGTCCACGATCTCTGATACTAGACAGCGGTGCAGGAATCTCTTTTTTGTATCCCGAACAAGTTCAGTATCCGAAAACTACCAGACGTCCCTCTCGTTTTCCGTTTGGAAGACAAAAGTACCGGTCGGGAAAAGGATTGGGTTATCGTTATCGCGTGTGTGTACGATGCGTCTCTGACTGTATCTATACCATCTATACCTGTCTCTACTAGCTACCGGCGCTACCCGCTGCTGCTCTTTATTTATTTATGTACGCCGTTTCGGAAAGAGACAGACGCTGCTGTCAGTTGCCCCGTAGAGTGATCAGTTGTTTGGGATAAACAAAAAGTTACGCAGTGAACCTTATGAAATTTATTGAATATTTTATTTATAAAAAATAATCGGTGCATGGAGGGAGTGTACGGTGTAGGTTCATTACATAGTCGCATCGATCGCAATTAACCTCCGAGCGGTTCGAGCAGTAGGCCGGACACCTGTCCGACGATTCCAAGATTCGACTTAAAAATCTGTACTACTAGACTCGTGGTCGTACACGGTTTTCAACGTCTGGCAAGAACAGTAAGTAATAAGCAATACGTGAGTGATTGACAAGAAACGTCAAAGTAACGCGTAGAGAACGTCAGTGTCAGCAGCCGTTGCATACATTGACAATTAATTATCTGAGTTTATATTTTTAACGTTATGTAATCCGGTTTATTGTTAATCCTAAGAATGCCAATTTCACCTTTCGCAAGCATTAAAAATAGTAGAACGAAGCTTATACGTATTAACGCTTTTTGCGCTGGCTCCAATATGAACGTAAAATCAGCTCCCAAGTATCGGCTCGTCGTCGCTCGTCGAAGCATCGTTCGTCGATGGGTCGCTGATTTTATGATCGAACGGCGTGGCACACTTTCTACGGGATTGACAACGGGACGCGTCGCCTGTACTATCAGCAAGTGTTATAACGTAGTAATCGTGGTAAACCTTTGAAACCGCGCAGTCGAACGATCTCTCATTGTTCCGGAAGGGAACAACGGGGAAGGTGTCGATGCGAAGGCATATAAGGTCGTGTCCGAGACGAATATATCATTTGAGACACGCTGTACGTGATTTTGACGATCGAAACCCGATCCGAAACCGTGTAATGTACGTTTACGTTTTAATAGATGCATCGGTCTGTCCTCGTGGCATTCGACTTTGATCATACGATCGCCGATAACAATACCGATATCGTGGCACGAAAGCTGTTGCCCAAGGAAAAATTGCCAGACAGCGTGAAGGATTTGTATCGTTCCAACGGTTGGATCACGTACATGGGGAAGATATTCGAATTGCTGCACACCAATTCCATCGGCACAGAGCAAATAAAAAGTGCCATCGCCGACATACCCGTTGTTCCGGGTGTCGAAACGCTTTTGAAAGAGTTGCACTCCCGAGGTTGCGAGATCATCATTATCAGCGATTCGAACGCGTTGTTCATCGGCGAATGGTTGAGGAACAAACGGTTGAGTCACGTCGTCACCGAGACATTTACGAATCCCGCGGAGATAGACGGCGACGGTTTAATAAAGCTGGGCATGTATCACGTCCAAGACTCGTGCCAGTTGAGCACCGTTAATTTGTGCAAGGGCCAGATTTTAGAGGACTACGTTAAGAAAAGAGCCGACGAGGGAACGCGTTTCGATCACATAGCCTACGTCGGAGACGGTAAAAACGATCTGTGTCCAATTTTACGGCTGTCGGAGAACGACGTGGCGTTCCCGCGCAAGGAGTACGTGCTCGTAAAAATGTTGAACGATACCGAGAATCGCGGGCTACCGAAAGTACAGGCGCGTGTATTTCCATGGAGCGACGGTTTGCAAATTTTAAGAACGTTAGAGAAAGAGATCGGCCTCTGCTCTTAATCAATAGAATTTCGACAGAAGCGAACGAAATATTTTCCATTTTCTACCCATCATCGATTACGATATAGTTAAGGGAAATTGTACTTGTTATTATACTGTGAAACGATGCGTCACGAGCTGACGTACTTGACGATCTCTTATAAAAAGGTTTACATGTAAATACATCTGTCGTCAATGTACACGTTATATTCTATCCTCCCTGTTCGATCTCTTCGTCTATACTTTAAACGTATGCGCGGTAATACAAAGGGTGATAAAAATAACACGACCGGACGAGACGATGACGACGAAAGGCTGTTTGTACCGTTTTCCGTATTTCGCGCGCGTGCTCGCGCGCACACTCACGCGCACACACACACACACACGGGTGCGCGCGCAACGACGAGATGAAATTATTATCGTGTAAAATCTATAAATTCGATCGTGATTCGCGCGAGTAGATATACGTGATTAAAAGTTCGCTGGCTGTTTGATTACGTTGGAAACAAACGCATTTATCCTTCGAGCGTATCGTTGTCTGGCGTCACGTGCAGCGCGACGCCCGCTACGCGCCGCCATGAGATCGTGCTCAGAACTCATGACGTGCTCGATGCGTGCGATGTAGTTACGCGTCTCTAACGTTGATCGTTCCTCTTATTATTATTGCTCGCGGACGTCGGCAAAAATTGTTACTTGTCCACCGAAAGTATCTTGAGACGAAGCCGAAAGAGACGAATTGACCCGATGCCGAGGCTCTTACCGAAAATCTTCAAAGTATAACTATATCTACATGACGACGAGCTAGTGTATCAGTTTCGGTAAGCAAATTTACACGGTCATGGAATCCTTTTGCCATTCGATCGCGGTAACGATGTAACGAAAGGTACAGAAACTACCGGTGAAGAATCGATCTTCGTGGCCCACTAATACGTGCAATGCCACGTAGTCACGACGTACAATTTCCTCAGCCCCTAACTCGATTTAGACTTATCCAGTCAATGAATGAACGACGATACGATACTTGGAACGTCATCCGTGTCCAGTACAAGGGCGTACGTTAAAATTTTTAACGAAAGAATCCCGTCCGAAATCTTAGGCAAGTAGAATTATCCTTCACGTGGTGGTGGTGGGATGTACACTGTTTATTTTAGTAATTCCCATCCCGTTCGCCTCCTGATACTTGATCATTTTAAGATTGAAGATGTTCCGCAACGTTCCAAACAGAGTGGCTGTCAAATAAGCGACGTTCAATGACCATTCTGGTACACGCGAAGAGACGAATACTTTCGTTAGGAATTCAAGAAACAAAGGTGTCCACAATATTGTTCCACACAACGTGGATTTTCTAATCGTATCCAGCGACCGGGACATGTTTTCCATTCGATCAATGATACTCTGCCGCTGGTTCTCATCGAACGAAACGCCGTTCCACCGGTGATCATTCTCACAACGTTCGTCTTTTCGCGTCTCTACGAATCGCTGTTTATCGGCAGCAGCGATCGATTCCCGACGACGGTCTTTACCTGGACGTTTCGAGGTGGTACTCGGTCCCGTGGAATCCATGGAAAGTTCGCAGCTCGCATCGTTCATCTCACACGTAAAGTCCGAGTTACGATCGCTCAGCACTCTGCTCGGCGGCCTCGCTTCCAGTCTCGTCAAAATCGTTTTACAAATCGATTTGCCGCGTCGTTGTAAAATCGACGAGAGCAAGATCGGCAAGAGATATATTACAAATGCTAGCAGGAGTGAATGTACTTTTACAAATCGAGTCGATACAAAGCAGTCATCCGCCACGTGTACCAGCAGCAGCGTTGCCACGGAGGAATCGTCTGGCTGGTAAATAGTAGTGAAGTTCGACGAGACGTTATGCTCAGAATATTTTCCTTCGAACTCCTTCGGCTGCTTCTTATCACGATAGTCCTTATTCTTATCGTATTTATGATACAGATTGTGAATGCGTTCAAGTATCTCAGCAAATGTTGGATCACTCGACTGGACCGGTGGTGCTGAATCATGTTTCACAGTCGTATCCATCGAATCGTCCGCAATGTTTCTAGCATCGTTCGTCCGCGATTCATTGGTATCTAATTTTTCGACAATGTCCATAGCGATCTCGTCATTGTAACGTTCTTCTCGTACAACGTAGGAAATGTTCGTCGTCAGGTCGTCGAACAACGAATATTCATCGCCCGTAAAATTTGTATCCTCTCGCACAACATAGATCTCGGAGTCGCCAGAATTTCCATGCTCTGCCCACGACGAGTTTGCCAAACTGAATTCGTTCTCGATACTCTCGTTTCTCTCCAAGAGTATCGTGTACGCGTCGAGTTCAAAGTATCTCGTTGCCGTGTTCGATTCCTCGTCGTGAGAAACTCTGTCGAACGAAACGGCGGGGGTGTCGTTTATCAACGAGTAAACCAGATTTTGTACCTTGAATATTATCTCGTCCACTCGAGTACCGTTCGATTTGTTTAATTTCAAACGTTCCTCGTCCAAGCGATCTATATACAGAGGATTCTCATGTGTTTCAGAGTCAGCGTCTTGTGAAGCGATCGTCGTCTTCACGTCGATACAATCGTGAAAAAGGAAGACACTCGACTCGGTGGAACATCGTGTAGCTTCCTTCGTAGAATTCTCGTCGAAGTCAGCGAGATACAAAAGTCCAGTGACGAAGACAGGTACAATCCACTGGCTGAGGACAAACGCAGCAGCAGTGACTGCTCTGTTCGTTTTGTCGCGCTTAAACGCTCGTAAAGTATTTCTCGTATTCCGTTCGACGCTCGGAATTTCCCCGCTTCCTTTTGAACTCTCTGTCCGCTCGCCCTCGCGTACCATCTCTTCGGACTGCACAGATTCGTAACAACACTCGTCCTTCAAGTCGAACACGCTCAAATTGCATTGCACGGAGAACATCAATAGGGACACGAACGAATTCGTGAACGGGAGGAACAACGTCCCATATTCAATCATCGCTTTCGTTACGTCGCATTCCGCGTCCGGAATAATATCGGAATCATTCAGATTCGTAGCAGCGTTTAAACCTTTGCCGGTATCGGATATTCCATGGTCAGTGGCTTGATCCTTTACGCTCGTAATCCGTTCGATCCAGTTCACGAATAATATTGTGCACGTGAACACGGAGAACAGTACATCGGACACGGACAGAACGTACAGCGACGTGTTCTTCCATTGCCTGAATCGTCTTCTCAATAAAATCGTAATGGTCGCGACGCTAGACAGAAGTAACGTACACGCAGAAACATTGAGCGTGACGGAATACATGTTCGGTCTGTATACCCGTGCACCGTGGAGAGCACTGGCTGCTCGACACCGGGGGTTTGCCGGGTAGGACGCGTTGGGGTATCACTGTGACCGTTATACTTTGGTCGTACAACATGTGGGTACGTCGATTATCCGAACGACGACGACCACCACCACCACCACGAATGCTGGTATTCCGTACGTACGCAGAGTGGTGTATACGCTCATTACGCTGTTTCAGTGCTCGCTTATCGTCATGTCTGTTCGTCGGAGAACTGATCCTTACATGACCCAACGGATATGGGACGCTATCAAAATAACGGTGCATCAGAGGAGTTTACCGAGCAACGATCGTATGGTGCGGCACCTCGCTCGAGTCTACGGGATCACGGAGCAAGAGGCGCAGGAAGAATTGAACAAGGCGGTTGCCGACGGACTCGTGCATTTGAAGAAGGTGCCTACGAAGAACGGTATAGAGCAAGAGAGTTACAGATTGCCGTTGGACATTATACAGAACGACGGCCACGACTGGTACTGCTGCAAGTGCCAGAAAGCGGGGCCGGTAGAATGTTGTCAACAGTGTCACAGAGTTTATCATCCCGAGTGTCACGTACCCACTAGCGCTAAATTGAAGATCTGCAGTTTCTGCGAAGTGAGTATCGGGGCGTCGGATCGGGGAGTCGCGCGTCGCGTACGTCGATAACGACACAGAGCGAATGGTTGCAGAGCGTGAACAACGACACGTATCCGGACAAGACCGATCTGAATCACATACTGAGCTTTACCTGCGGGCATCTCAAGGCAAAATTACCGCCGGAGATCACCAATCGTACCATCGTGTTCAACAACGATCCCGTCGTCGCACCACCGAACAGACACTCGGGTCCGACCTGGATCAGCGAAGGGGAAGACGCATGGCGACCGGGTGTACTCATTAAGAATCACATGGATCTGGCGATCATGGACGCGCGGATCAAAAAGAACGAATACAACAGTTTAGCCGAGTTTCAAGCGGACGCGCACAACATCTTGCACAACATCATCGTGTACCACGGAGGTGCGTAACACGGAGGGAACCTTTTCCGAACCGAATGATCCGCAAACGTTTCTTCTTCAGCTCACAGCATAATTGGAGAAATGGGCAACACTATGTATCAAGACTGCTGCTACGATCTTCAAGAGATCCGTCGTTGCGCCGACTGCTACAGGATATCGAACGAAAAATCGGAGAAACTATGGTTCTGCATACCCTGCAGGCCGCCGCATCAGTTGGTATACGCCAAGCAAAAGGGGTATCCGTACTGGCCGGCCAAAGTGATGCGGGTCAACGGGAACATTTACGACGTCCGGTTCTTCGGCGGTCATCACATGCGAGCCAACATTGAGAAAGTGTTTATTCGTCCGATCACGTCCAGCCTACAGAGTCTACAGGTAATCGGAGGGTGGTAGATTGCCGACTAAAAATTTCAACGCGAGGCGGTCACGCGAACCTCGTTAAATTCTCGGTTCAGGTTTACACGCCATTCGCAAAACGTATTGTACGACACGCGCAGAAGAGAACCGTCGCGAGAGAAAAACCGATTTAGAGATCGTCGTCGCGCTTGGGTATATCACATGTTCTTGACAACGAATTCTCGCACGGTCCTCGGAACGGCGGGGAAGCGCGGAACGAGACGAAGGTACGGTCGTGGCCGGGAGTGTACGTCTCGTCGAGCGTCCCGGTTTCGTCGCGCGCCCGAACTCGGCCTTTCTCAAACCGTGCACAATATTCTACTTTCACAGATAAAAAGGTCCACCGCTTGGAACAGAGCGTTCGAAGAATTGAGGCACCATCAGGGTCTATTACACAAGACGGGCAAGAGCATCGGGGAGTTGGAGGTCGGTGGCGGCGGCAATGATGACGACGACGACGACGACGACGACGACGACGACGACGACGACGACGACGATGAGAACGACGAGGACGGCGACGGCGACGGCGACGACGACGAGGGTCCAAAGGCCAAGATCCGACGCAGAGAATCGTCAGGCTCAAGAAACACGACGGCGGACATTCAGAGTCCTTGTTCGAAACAAGTCACGAAGGATCTGAGAGTGAAAGTGGAACGTCTCAGTTCAGAAGGTCACGGTGACGCAAACCAGGAGGAGACCGAACACGGTCGACGCTCGCCAAAGAACAAGGCCAACAGCGAGGAGAGGCAAGTGCCTCGTCTACCGGTGGCGGAAGACGAACCCGCCGGAGGGATATCCAGCAGCTGCCCACAGGGATTGAAGAAGGAAGGCTCTCAAGAAGACATGGTGACGTCCAGCTCTCAGGAACCAAGGACCAAATGCGTCTCCGTGCAAACGGAACAAGTACAAACGGAATCGTTACCGGCGAAGGTAACGTAAAAATCGTCTTGGCGACCAACTCGTCGACGACACGTATCACGCGACGAAAAACGCGTCGGGTCTCGTTGTTACAGATAAAGAGGGAACGTAGGACGTCGGAGCAACCTACCACGACGGCGTTAGAAAAATTGCGACGCGAATTAGAACTGGAAAAGTGTAAAGAACTGGAGAAGCTACAAGCCGAACACGCCAAAGAAGTACGGCAACTGACGGACAGGCATCAGCAAATCATATCGGAGATAAAGAAGAAACAATGGGTACGTATGCATACGTTTACTTGGGCGCGTCCTTCGCCTTGCAGGTTCACGACGATACCGGTTCCGGTTCTAATTTCAGTGTTACAATTGCGAAGCCGAAGCGATATATCATTGCTGTTGGAACACGGCGTATTGCAGCACCGACTGTCAGCAAGTCCACTGGCAACGCGAACACAAAAGAGTCTGTCGACGCAAGCGTTAACAACGCTCGTAACAGCGGCAGCGTGTGTGTAAGGTGACAACGCCACGAGACGTTTACGAGAATCGCGTCGAAATTACTGTAACCACTGTAAAATAAGTATAATTCGTAGGAGCACGTCAATACATTCTCAACATCGATTCGCGAAAACCTGCCCTCTCGAGTTTCCCGTTCACGCGGACGTATTCGTCCCGCGTGCAACGATCTCTCGTTCGTGACGACGGCGACGCAACAGATACGTACGTATCGTCGTATAACGTTTCTTCGTCTCTACGAAGAATTCGGGACCGCGAGGTTCGACAGCGAGGCGAGACGGCAGACACACATATTTTGTATACCTGAAACAACAGCGGTACGAGACAGTCGGGAATGCGGGGATACGAACAGGATTCAGAGTGCACATATAAATACATCGAAGACGTCACAGTGTATCATATATTTACCGATTACCGTACAGTCTTGCGAATAAAATCGAACTCGCACTAAAAAATTATCAGTCTCGGTCGTTTCACCAGTCAACGATCATTCTCACCGGTTCGTACTTGTCGCCACGTTCGTTCTCACGTTCCACGCGAATAGATCCCACGAAAAGTGGAGAATAATTCACGTTGGTAGCTCGCGGAGAATCAAGTATCTCGAGTTCTGACTTCATCGCCTACCGCTGCCATGGCCATTCTACCTCCGTCAGTGCTCTCTGTCTCTACTCGGACATAGCTGGTCGCGTCGATAGTACTGAACGTCAGTCTCTCCAAGAGCCGGAGTTCGCGAGGCTCCAACTTGTCCCCGAGTTGTCTCAACGCACTCAGCACCTCTGCACGTTGACGATCGGCAGCTTCCTCGGTCAGTCTCCCTAGTTTCGCATCGCAGTCGATACGATTCAAACGTTCTCTAAGCCGCGACGTCTCTCGTTTGCCAAACATTCGGATGACAGCAGGAGTCTTGAAGGTATCACCGATCGCAGCTCGAGTAGCCTGTTAAAAACACGAAACGAGATCGCATCGAGGGTCTCCGGTAAAATTCAATCGGCAACGCCCGTTTCCTTCTCACGACACGCACCAATTGTATCGCGCCCAATTGATCGACCAACGTCGTATCGCCGGTTATCATCCTCTGTAGACTCTCGTTAAATTCTTGTAGATCGTCCTTGGTGAGTCGCACAGCTTCCTCGTAACCAGCCGCGTCCAAGAGACTCCTGTCGAACGCGAGAACGTGAGAGAACGCGAAAGGACGATCGAAATTCGTTCCGCGAAACGAAATTACCGATTCTCTTCTATGTCTTCCAATTGTTGTACGAGCCTGTCCAATTGTGCCTCCAAATTGTTCCTCAACTTCTCGGTCTCCAATTTTCCGCGGGAGCTCATTTCTCGATTCAGAAATCGGAATGATCAACGGGGAACAGTGGTCGAGACTGTCGAAGTCGAGAGTGGTCGAGAGAGTGGTCGTGTAGCGGATGCATTTCAACGCCATTCAGTGGCATGTGCTGAAAGTAAGGAAAAAATGGCGGGGACAGTCTGAAATTTAAAAATCTGTATTAAGAAGTATTAGGTATACCGTGACCATGGCTTAGAGAGAGAGAGAGAGAGAGAAATACGTTCTTATACGCTAAAATAATTTTTATTCCTTTTTATAAAAAGTGTCTCGGTTATTGTCTATACCGAAGTTAATGTCATAACGGTACAGCTGTACGTAAAAACTATTTACAGATCCATTCGTGTATCATATTATTTATGGACGGACATATACATATACAATAGATATATGTAAATAGTGTTTAATGTTAGCTCGTAAAAAATACGCTTTGTTAAATAACTAAGTAATACTATAGAGTATAAAAAGGGTATAATAGGCTACGGCCGCGTGAACGAGTCACTCAGTACTTTTAAATCAAACGTAATTACAAAAAAAAGAAGAAAAAATAGAGTACAAATAATATTCCACTGTGAGATGAACACCTGGCAATTGATAAGTAATGCCAAACAGATCTGTCTCCACGTCGGCTTAATAATTGTTTAAGAAAAAAAGAAAACAATTTGCATCTCGCGACGGTGTACCAAAGACCAAGACGACCTTATAGATATCTTAAAATTAGCAATACTAAGAGTAACGAGATTCTCCGAATACCAGCTGGGAGTTGAACAACAGCGTTTCCACCGCTTTTAAATGCAGCTGCATCTCCCATTTGGAAGGTGTGAGTGGGACTGGACATCCTACCGTCCCCTCCGTTACTGAACGCCAGTACCCGCAAGTGGTACGCTTTCCCAGGGCTCAGATTCGAGATGTAAGCCTCGAGCTTCGAGCCACCCGGAATGATCGTGTCGTTCGCGGTGCTCATATCTTGGTCCAGTTCCCAGACTCTGATCTTATAACCGATCAACGGCTCCTCCTCTAAACTCGGTTGCACGTAACGCCAGGTCACTCTGATCGTCGACGGATCCACCCCGAACACGTTGACCGAGGACGGCGGCTTCTGCGGAGCTTTCCTGTACGTCCTCTCCAAGTATCTCTCGCTTTCGGGTCCCTCCCCGGCGGCATTATACGCCATTACCTTCACGTAATAATAAGTGTCCGGTTGTAGACCCACCACCAGAGCCCAAGGTCTTTTACTTCTGCTCAAGTAATAAACGGCGGTCTCTTCCTTGTTGCTCTCTTTCCAATATTTTATTCTGTGCCCTATCAATCTTCCCCTTATCCTCTCTCTGGTCTCCTCTATCGGTTGCCAGCTCACCCTCAAACTGGTACTGTTGTAACTTTGTGCCAGCACTTGTTGCGGGGCAACTTGAGGCATGTCCTCGGCACTGAATATCGTCACCTCGTTCGAGATCGGGCCATAGCCCAGTGAATTCGCAGCCTGGACCTTCACCTCGTACTCGGTGTAATAATTTTTCTGAGGTATCTGCACCACGAACTGTCCGATGTTGCCGAACTCCTTCAAAGACTGCGACTGGAACTCGGTCTCTTGGTTCTTCAACCGCCAGTACACCTTGTAAAAGATCCCTGGCCCGTTCTGTTCGGACGGTGGCAACGGATCCCACGTCACGGTCAAGTCTCCGATCTTTCCACCGCCTCCACCAATATTTCTCGGGTATCTCGAAGGTCTGTCGGACGGGGTGCTGTACTGGGGCGAAGGCGCGGAGGGTACGCTGTATCCCAGTTCGTTAAAGGCAGAAACGGCAAACTCGTACGTTGTGTAAGGATTCAAAACGTTCTCGAGATAGGCCTCCTTCCGACTGGTGTACCTGTCCACCTCCAGGGCGGTGATATCTGAAAATGATCAGAGATGATCGCGTGACGCGAGCGCACACGAACGAAAGTCTGACATCTTTTACTTACTCTCGATCAGAGTGAACCAGGTCCCGTTCCAGTTGGTCCTCGCGAAGACGGTGTACATGGTGATTAGTCTACCGTTGAGCGCTCCGTCCGTCCACCTCAGCGTGGTCGAAGTTTTCACGATGTTCACCACTTGAACTCCACCGGGCGGCCCCGGTGGACCCTCGACGACGACGATGGTTCTACTCGAAATTTCTCCGACCGCGCTCTTCACGATACACTCGTATTCCCCGCTTTCCGCGGACGTCGCGTTGATAATACGCAATTCTTCCTTGTCGATCCTCAGTCGATCGTTGTTCTTCAGATCCTCGTCCCTTAATATCAGCCCGTTATGTTTCCACACGTAAGCGACGTCTAACATCTCGTCGACCTCTCCCACGCAGTGTAACGTTAAATTTTGCATGACCGACGTGGTCAGGCGTTGGGGCAGCTTTTCCAAAAATTGTGGACCACCTGAGAATCGGAGGGGGTATCGTTTAAATATACACGTACACCGTCGTCGCTACGTACGCGGGTGGACACGTTACAACACGTGTAATGCGCTCATACTCACGTAACACTATCAGTCTACCGCGCGTCTCGTCGCTCCCGTACTGATTCGTCGCGGAGCATACGTAAGTTCCCTCGTCGTCTCTGGAAACGGGACTGATCTTTAAGTTCCCGTTCTCCAGAATTCGTCTTCTCCCTCCCGACCCGATCACGTTTCCATCCTTCTTCCAGACGAATTTCGGTCTCGGAGCGGCTTCCGGGTTGCACAGAATGGTAACGTTCCCCCTTTCGGCCGCGTACGTTTCCGATTCCATCGGATGCTTCTTGAAGGACGGTTTCAGTGCTGGTAAAATGCAAAGACAACGGGCGTATCGACCATGACATTTTGCGATTGATTGATACGATAGACGGTTGCTCACATAAAATCCGTAACTGCGCCGATGAATATCTCGCCTTCAACTGATTCTTCGCCCTACACTGATACATCCCCTCGTCCCTCTTGTCCAGATTCTTGATGTTCAACACGTTGTCCCTGATGCTGTACCTGTCGCCTCTGTCGTCCGAGAGGAGAGTCTGCGGGTCGAGGAGCTCTCCGTTCTTGAACCAGTCGTAAGTAACGTCGGGGATCCCGAAGGCCTCGCACGTCCAAGTCAAGTCCCCTCGATTGTCCATGTGCTTGTCGGTCAGAGGAATCGTGAAATTGGGTGCCGCTTGGATGGTCAGTCGAACAGAATTTTCTATCGACAGTCGATCGTTTTGCACGCGGCACACGTATTCCCCTTGGTCGTCGACGTGAACTCGCGGAATTATGAGAACGCGATTGTAACTCGTGGTGTAGGAACCGCGAGGCAAGGCTGCGGCACCCTTGCGCGTCCAGTTGTACGAAGGCACCGGGTATCCGAACGCGATGCACTCGAATCGGACCTCTTGGCCAGCGACCGGAGCTTCCGGGAACGCTTTTGGGAAGTTATTGGAAAATTTCAATTGTTGGAACGAGGAATGCGGGTCGACCCTCAGAGGAAAGAACGGGCCGTTCCGCCCGGTGTCCGAGGCTATGCTCTGCACGTTGCACGAATAACTTCCTCTGTCGATCATCTCCAACGCGGAGAAATACAACGCTCCGTCGTACGACACGAACACTCTCTTGTCCTCCTCGACGAAGTTCGGAAAATAGTCTCTCGCCCAATAATATTTCACTCCGGGAAAGTGTTGCGGTGGATCGCAGTACACCGCCTTTCCCCAATTCTCGTCCCCGCGCTCCTCCGACCGTTTCAGGTTGAATTCCAATATGTATCCGAACGACAAGTCTACGCTCTCCGACATGATCGTGCCGAATTCGTTCGTCGCTTTACAGTGATACGATCCTCTGTCCTCCGCCTGAAAATAATCGTCAATATTCGTTATTCGTCGTTGGTCGATCGAGCTCTCCTCCCTTGTCGTCTCGGTTCGACGAACTCGTTCGACGTTCACCACTTCACGACACTCTCACCTGATCTGGCTCGTAGATAATCAATGTTCCACCGCTGATCGTGTATCGCGTGTTGTTCAAAGGGTCGATCTTGGTCGCGATCAGTCTGTCGTTCTCGTAATCCTCTTTGAACCATTCGTAAGTCGGTGCGGGATACCCTCCGGCCAAACAGCTCAACTCCACATGATTACTGATCTTCCTCTTGGACACGTCGAACACTTTGTCCACCGGATGGCGAACAAAGTATGGACCCCTCGGCACTACTTTCGGATCGTCCACCTCGATTCCGTACTGATAACTTCTGTCGTCGTCGACCATATTGTACAGATCGTATATCTTCGCCTCGCAGATATAGAGCAGTCTCTCCCTTCCGTTCACTTTCTGCAGTCCCCATCTTTGCAAATTATTGTTGTACGAATACACCAAGTATTCTCGATCGTAACTGTTATCGACGATCGGCTCCGGTAGGAAAGCATTTTCCATGTTCACTAGCTGAGTGTTGTCCGCCTCGTTGACCCAGTTACCATTCTGTAGCCTTACACCGGTGTACCAGTCCCGATGCTGGGGATCCTGCCACAACAATTGATAGAGCACGAACCCATGTTCGTCTAACGAGTTTATGCTCAGCAAATCGCTCTGGAAGGCTTCGCAATTCTTACGAGCTTCGGAACGCTCTCTTATCGGGCTCTTTATGAAACGATAGCAGGACTCTTGGAAACGAATCCAGTGCTGGGGACACTGATGATACTGTTCCTCGTATTGTACGTTGCTTTGAGCAGACGCGGCTGACGCTACGACGAGAACGTACGTCACGATCACTGGGAAACGATGCATTGTTACCTCGTTGGGAAAAGTAACGTCGAGCGAGGGCAATGTTGGCGGGTCCTCTCCAAAATCTGAAATAAACCACGGTTATTTAACTATGTCATAAGAATTTCATTTCGCACAACGATACGATCTAGCAGTTTATCAATCGTCGCGTGAAACCGTGAGTGGCAACGAAACTGAAAACAGTGGAAATGAGCACTCGGATGAATCACCTTACGATTCACCGTCTAATCTGCTTAATTATTCGTTGCGTTTACTCGTCGGTCTACATTCATCGTTTCGGGCGGGGCTGCACGTTGCACGAATTGTACACCGTTGTGTGTGTGTGTGTGTGTGTGTGTGTGTGTGTGTGTCTCTCTCTCTCTCTCTCTCTCTCTCGTTATCACTAGAACCTATTTCACTTCTACTCGCGATCAGTTTCAAATTTACCTAGTGTGCCACCGAGAACGGTCCTTCGTGCAATTACATTTGGTGGATGCAATCGCTGTTCCCTAAGATCGTGGATACATTATTGTTGATTATTGTGATGTTCACAACGCGATGGCACGCGATGGGTAAAATAGTGGGGTCCTTGAGGCACCTCGATCACAGCGCCGTGCGTCGAGGAACGGTAAAACTGAGGTACACGCTTTCGTACCTCCTTTGGATCCATCGATTTCGCCGATCTCGCTGGTCGCTCGTTCTCCCATTTCTACTTATTATTTCCTCTCTCTCTCTCTCTCTTAAACTCGAGCGCTTCTGCAATTTTTTCGAATACGGAAAACGCAGGAGTGGTGACGGTGGTTTGTAAAGAATTTATTCAAGTTTCCTTCAAGTGTCATTCGGACAAAAATACAAAACTCGAGAGATATTCAAGGAGGATCCATCCAAGAGTTCCTCGAGCCTTAGAGTGATATATACATATGTTATTGTTTATTTCTTTCTATCAAAAAGTACCGATCCATTAAGTTTTCTTCGATTCAAGAACGAAACCTCCTCTCTTGGACATATTTTATCAGAGTTCTTACGTTCTTCGAATATTCGTTTCTCGAGATATTCTCTGAACTTTCCTGAAAGAGCAAAATACACGAGTTATCGTCAACGTGCTTGTTCGTAAAATGTCGTTTACCGTTCATTTACCATTATTAAGTCTTTCGTGCAAAGCGTCGCGTCAGTGGGAATCTTCGCGATCTTGGAATGGAAAATGCTGAGGCATTTAACGAAAACAATGTCACCGTTGTAATCAGCAATATCCTTGTACAGTTGCACGCAACAATCCTAAAAGAACGTCGTGCAAGAGTTTACTTCTTTTCAAGCAAACAGATCTTTCGTCGACGGGCGTTCTTGGCTCACCTGTAGAACAGGATTTTGGTGTTTGTTCAAATACGGCTCCGCGACGCTCAGAACGTCCCACGTTTCTCGTTCGCGTAGTCGAAGATTCCGGGTTAATTTCGCGAAAGACGAGAGCAACTCTTTTTGAAGCTTGTACATCTGCGTGAATCTGTACATGCTCTCAGTGGTTTTCATGTGACTCTCCTTCGCGGCATCTTTCAGGAATTTCGTGAGCGGCGGCCACACCTGTCTACGAACGTGATTCATCTGACAGTTTATTCGAATTTCGCTATATACAAACGAAACGTGTTTGCACGAATACTAACTTCAACATTCTGGACCGTATAAAATCCTTGGCCGTGTCGCCGATCGTATTGAGCAGTTGCCACGCTCGATTGATTATCAAAAGATCGTTTTCGTTGAATCTGTCCACCAACGGATGCCACAGGGAATGAACAATGGGCAACAGTTCGTCCTCCCAATGCGCCATGATCTCGAGACTGTCCTGCAGCGTCGACATGGCGATCAAACGCTCGTCCACGTTCTTGGACGACACGAAGTGCAAGCAATGCCTCGCGATTTGTTCGATCATTGTCACGTGAAACGGCGGTTCCACCTTCTTCTCTGTAATCAATTCGATCTACCTAGTGACTACTGTACCGGCATTGTTTAATCACGCGAACAATTACAAATCGCGTACACCGTCTTCTGAGATGACCGACTACAACACGTGTAACGATCTGCTAGGTAATAAATCCTATACATCACGTTGGCGACAAAACGTTCTTCAGTACCTTTTTCTTCTTGTTGTTGTTGTTGTTCTTCTTCTTCTTCTTCTTCTTCTTCTTCTTCTCGCTCTTCGTGTTGTGGTTCGCATTCAGTATCTTCTACCTCCTCTTCGATCCGATCGTCTACCTGCTTTGCTTCCACGTATTCGAGCACATCTTGCACGATCTTTGAACACCGATTTTCTTCGTCGTCGTCGTCGTCTGCCCGCTTTTCAATTCCGATCGTCTCTCCGCCTTTAACAGCTAGCATGTCTTTTACGCAAGCTGCGAACACGTGAAAAACTTTGAGAAACGCATAGGAATTTCTTCGATATAAATTCTTGTTCGAATGGGACGAACAATCCTCTACGATTTCTCTCAAACAGGACAGCGCGTCGATCGTGCTGTGTCTGATCAACACTCGAATCACGTCCAGACAACCAGGATTGAGATGGACTCTGCGCAATTTTATTCTGACATTGTACGAGAGATAGTCCATGTTGGTATTGAACAAATCGCTGGTGGAAAGACAGTGCTGCGATTTCGCGATCATTTCAAGCGTTCGACTGGCGACGAGGCTGATCAAACCGTTCTTGTTCCCTGGAATTTTTAGAAAAAAAAAAAAGACAAATAGAGGTCGGACATCTGTACCGATTCGACGACCACGACGATTCTATTACTTTGTCATTCGACAATGCACGCATCGTCTCAGTTGATAAATAAATACCTGCCCTCTCGACTACAAGGTAGAGCGTTTTCAGAAGGAACCTTTCGTAGTTTCGATCTAAATTGAGAGAAATCATTCCTAGACCCTCTGACAACAAACAGCACAACGTAACGTTCCTCTGAGCCACGCGAAGCGGTACGTCTCGATCCACTTCGACGGAAGGATACCAAAAATCTGGGTTCACATAAAGATCTACTATGTCTTCGTAAACCTGCAGCCGTGTGGTGTCTCTCGGCGGCGCTGAAACACCGCGATTTACACCGATTATTTTAATCCGACTTGTTAGGCGTCATCCGATGAACGTGTCCGTACCGTCGACGATCCAGTTCAACAACAGAATCAATTCGTTGGTGTAGCCAGGCATGTCGGCCAACAGTCGCGTAATATTGTCCGCCAAAATCTGAATATCTCCAGATTCTGCTAGACAGCGGCAAATCTCCCTGACCTTCGACTCACACGCGTCGCTGTCGATAAATCTGTACCTCTTCCACCGTGACCGTGATCCTGAACAAACGATCGACGAATCGTCAAGATCGTTCGCGTTCACAGTTTCCAAAATCGACACGTCAGCGTAATCTATTTCCGAGACGTGAACAAGCGCAATGATCAATCTACGAACATGCGCGACGGACATCATCAGTCGATGCAATCTTTGATCACCGAGAAGTCTCAAATAGCCAGCGATACGGTTCAAGCAGGACAGCTGGTCGGCATCGTCTGAAACGTGATGAACAAGATCTAGCGTTTCGTCGACACCAACGTAGACGCATTTTCGTTTCGCTCGACGGAGCGATGCGCTCTACGTGACGCGGGTGGTAGTAGTAGTAGTAGTAGTAGTAATACTCGATCTTCTGATGATCGTAGGTAATTTCGTCAGCAGGTCGTAAAAATTTTCTTCCAACAGCTCGGCCAGAGGTCTGTCGTCGATCTTGTCAAAGTTCACGTTCACAGCCTCCAAGGAACGTTTCGCATTCTCGCGAACCTCCACCGACTCGTCCTCCGACAGGGATATCAAATAGTCTGTCAGTAACATCACGTTAGGTTTCATGTTCCTGCCATTGAACAAAAGCAAGTGATGATACTCTTTTTACGTGACGTTGTGGTCGTCGTCGAAAATCATACCTGGAGCACGTCGTGAGCAGCAGCCGAATTGCTTCGACCAACTCGAATCGAACTTTCCAGTTGGGATGCTTCGACAACGCTTCCAATCGTCGAAAGGACCTGTTCAATTTGATTGCACAAGCGTACAGCCATCCCTTGTTTCGCGTTTTACTTCCCAAATGCTTCGTCAATTCTTTTTCGTCGTTCTCATCGATTCTCGACTCCTCGTTCCGATCCTTCAGCTGCATCAAATTATTGAACAACATTTCGTTATCACCATTTACCTCCTCCTCCTCCTCCATTTTATCTTTTGTCATCAGAGCGATTATCCTGGACCAAGCTCTGAGTGCCATCTGAAAGATCAGTATTTTATAAACGCAATCGTCGAAATCGTGATAATCGTAAATCGACTTCGGTTCATCCATCGTCCAAATTACCACAGTGATCATGTGGCTCTGTACGTCGCTTCCCGTCATTGTCTCCTGTAAGATGGCCAATGTGCCTGGCAACATGAACATAATGACGTCGGCCGCTTGATCTTGAAGTATCGCATCGGATCTGTCCGATTCGTCGTCGACCTGACAGAGCGTCATCAATGTCCTTATCGCCTCTATCCTGAAGACTCACACACACGCTCGTTTAGAGAACTAGGGTCAAACGCGATAGTAGTAGCGATAATTAATATAATTTTCATGAAACAATTACTTTAGAGACCGTGATCTTTCGTGCTTAGCTATTGCCAACGAAAGCATTATCCAATGTTGTCCGATCGTCGGAGCAGGGCTTTCGGCTAAACGGCTATAGAAGGCTTCTATCACTTCTGTATGACAACAGTCGACCAAAGTCTTGGCACACACGATCACAGCTTCCTTCAACTCTTCGTTTCCTTCGATCACTGTGAGAACGACAACGATTCTATGAGTAAACGAACAAACGCTCTAAACTACTGTGTTCGGTTCTATTAATTTCCATACGCAATGTTTGTCGCTTTGGATCGCAAATTTGTGTCAAAAGGCATGAATGAATCCTGTTCAAATGCTCTATTTTCGATATTTTCGCTATTGTTATAAGTTTCTGCATGGTTCTCACTGATTGCTCTCTAACGTTCTTACTGCAAAAATTGAAACCGGTACAATTATTCATTCATCGTTCATGGAATTTATCATACTCGATCAAAATTTGTGATGAAAATACTTCACTTGAGTTTTCCGTACGTCAAGTGGGTAACCAAAGGGAATGAGATGTACTCGAAAAAATTTCGGACAATCTTCTCAGAAACATTTCCCAAGGCATTCTCGATTTTTACTAAATTACTCGAATTCGGATTTGTTATCAAGGAATCGCAAAGCGGTTTTAATTTGATGAATGCCTCTTCGATCTCCAACGGTTCCATGAATTTAAATTCTTAGTCGCACGACACTTTCGTTCTCTTCGTTGTTCTCATCAATCAGTTCTCAATGTTTTCCTCATTATAGAGCGCCTCGCGAAATCCGCGGAATTTCCTCTCTTTTGTCAGAAGGAAATGCACTGGAAATGCACCTTGCGCCACTATAATCATCATATCTATTTCATATCTGTTAAAATTGCCTGAAATAGCTTACGATTTTTTAAATATCTGATACGATGTTAAAAGAAGTTACTATTTATTTTGGAAAATGGGTAAGAAATGCATAATAGAAATTATAAAGACGAGTAGGCATAACCTCAAACGATTTCAGTGTTGCACGTGGCGCTATCTAGCGTTCACGATCGCGAACCTGCTTGGCTCCGATGTTTCTAACCTTACATCTTCGATTCAAAAGTTTGTACATACTACAACCTACAACTGACTACAACCGCATTTAAACTGCGCTAGGAAAAGATATCTGGAAATGCTCAAAGGCACAGTGACATTTATGTATAAAAGTGTACGTATGAATTATGAGAATAACTGTCCGGTCGGATTGTGTGTGCACCGTGTCGTTGATGCAATTATAATAAAGGTTTTATAACCAATTGTAGTGGATCAAAGCGATACAGTTTGGTTGAGACGATATTTGCGATACAAATTTTCTCATGCATCATTTATACCGTTATGCTGCTGCGATGTTTTTACGTGCGACGATCGAATATTGCCACGTATCGAATAAGAGCTCGTTGTTCATTTGCTTCGTTTGAAGAGATGATCGAGCAGAACGATAATTGAAATGGACAACTCGGTAAAACTGATTGTACACAGGGGCAGTACGATCTTCGACTGCGTTGTCGTCACGATACATTCTGTGATTAGACACGAACAGAAAGTAAGAAACGATAGCGAATGTCAGAGGCATGTCAGTGAAAGTAAAGCTGGGGCACAAGTAAGAAAGATATCTATCAACAAGAAGAGATTTAATGCTTATTTTGTATCAGCATACGTTGGAACGTTGGCGAATTCCAAAACATATCGAAAGTCTGCGTTTGAGAGACTGTTACAATATATTTCGTGTAAGCTGTCGGAGAGAACGACGACGACGGCGACGACGAATGTAGGAGTAATCTTTATGAAATTGAGAACACCACAGAGACAGTTCTTAGATTATAAATGGTAAAACGGTCAAAGTAAACTTTTCTCATTATCGGATGACGATGATGATAATCGGGAGATGAAATAAATGTAATTGGAACAATTTGAATAGGAACGAAAAGATGGCACAGATGGCAGTGGAAAGGAGAGAAGTCGATCATGCTATGTCCTGGTTATCTACGTTAGGCGGAGCATTTTCTGCTTTAGGAGAAGAATTTCAATACTGTGTAAGCTCCTAAGCTAATATTATTTAATTTCGATATTCACAATCCCACCGATTCGTTTCCGATTCGAAAGTAGCTTTTGCTCTCCACCATCGTCTTACGATTGCATACGATACATGAACTACTACATGAACGTACACATTTGTACAGGCTGAAATGGCTGGAAGAATTTCTGTAAAACAATTTGAACTGGCACTTCGTCTTGGCGATCCTCTTTTGGTTGCCCGTTGCAAACTATATGCTGCCTTAAGTTTAATTCAACAAGGCCACTTGGAGATACCAAAGAAGGTAGTAAGGAGTACTTATAGATTTTCTATCGATCAAAATGATGTTCGTTTACGGAATATGTGTCACGGTATATGGGCTAAACTTACATATTGTCATAAGATGCGCAAGGAACGACGAAAAAGACCTGTCTAAATAATAGTATCGGCTCGGTTCTTGCTCTCGCGACACACACACACACACACGCATACACACGCATACACACAGAGTTTTTAACACGCGTGAACTGATCGAATTTGATATTTACGTTTAAAAAAAGATGTGTACAAAAAATCATGTTTTTGTACTTATTAAATGAATATTGAGGTAGTCTTATTACATGATCGAATTAAAAAATAATTGACAAATATGAGTTTGTAACATGTTTCATTATTCTCCGTGCAAATATCTAATTTCTGTTTGTTCCAAACAAAGATGCAGCAGCATTCTTAATTAGAAAACGACGATATCAACGATACGAATCTCATCGACGATAAAGAAATAAAAATAAGGCAAACAGATCATGAACGGGATTACTTTTGAATTTAGGAATGTACGACGACGAGTGTGCATTAGTTCATTTTTATTTTTCCATTAATTACAGCGTACAACTGCTTGTGTTTGATTTCACACACCCAGTATTATTGAACGATTCAAATACACGTCGTAATTCAACTTTCTAATAGTTATCCCTTAGTCGACGTTCGAATTTCGTGTTAATTAACTATACAAAAGTGTTGAAAAGTCTTCGGTTGTCACGCTGTGATGACGATGATGATGTTATCGATGCGTTCGCGGTAGTAGTATTTAGATTATCTGACGTTTAATTTTTAATATTATATATGCAGTCTTCTGTTAATTAAAATATTTTCAATCTGAAAGTGTTACAAGCTGCTTACTCTTAATTAGAACTATCACTGGGCAAGAGTGCCCATAGGATCCCATGCAGGTAGAATAATAGGTTCTTGTTTGAATACGTCCAAAACATCGGCGGACACTAATTTCTTGTCGATGACTACTTCGAAAACAAATTCGGCGAACCAGTCGGCTGTCAACAGTAGATACCCCTTCTGTCCTTGCTCATCTCCCCAGGAATTCTCTACTCGAAACTGCTTGATCTTTCCTTCGTCCTGAAAACATATCGTTACAGTTTCGCATCGAATTGCATCGTTCAGGAACGATGACTCATATCGACGACTGCGAATCTTCGTGGAAAATAATGAAATCTGAACGTAAAATTGTCCGCAGTCTATAAATGTGAACAAAAGAAAAGGAAAACTCTGAAGAAGATGATTCATAGGTTCGCTTACAGTTATCGAAACGGCTGTTAAAGCCATCGCATGCATCATCATAGAATCGCCGTAGAGTAGTCTGTCCGCTTTCGTGAGATTCATTTGTATATTGGTTCCGAACATCAATTCAAAATCGTACACGCACAGATCCTGTATACCTTGCTTACTCAATATACGTTTATTAACGTCGCATCCGAACCATACGGGCTCGTTTTGCTTGATGCTCTCTGCGCACAATTTCATTAATAATTCAGGCGGTTGATTGTTATACAGAGTAGGTCGCCCACCCAGGACGTTTCCTAAACAATCTATGGTATAAAGTTTGCCAAATGGATTAGTCGGCCTGGGATCGGACACCAAGCAAACTTTGTCTTCCACGTTGTAGTAGGGTTTCACGTATGTCTCGTAGAATTCTACTGGCGTTACGGGTCCGAACTTGTTATAATTTTTTGACTTGTCATAATATTCCCAGGTGATCGTTTTTGGAGGTATCCCTAGACAGATACCAAGTATTCGGTACATGACAGTCATCTGCTCGAGGATCTTAGCTTCCAGTTCGTCCTCGGTCGCATCCTTGGACATCATGTCTCTCAACTCTTTGGCGTACTCTCTCAGTTTACTTTTTAAAATCGTGTTCATGCGCGAACTAGTCTCGCTACTGTACGATTCTGGGAAACAAGCTTTGGGAACGAGGCCATATCGGTTAACGAGATTGATGATCATGTCCCATTGTCCACCGTCGTTGATGGGATCCTGTAACAGGAACGACACCAACCGACCATCCACCGGTTCGTTCCTTTTACCAGTTTTCACGATGTTATGTAGAAAATAGTTGCATCGTTCAAGCTGTAAGATAACAAACGCAGAATTTATGATCGATCGACTCACCGGGGGGAGGGGGGCAAATTGAATTCACATTGTGTACAAAATATACTGTGCACCTTGTCCCAGAAGAACACATATGCTTGACTGAACTCGAACTCGTCTAAATTGTATTGTTTCATAAAGACGATCCGTATCACATTTAAGGCAGAGAATATCCAACATCTGCCAGAATTCTTCTGATTCGTTATGGGCTTCCCCTCCGTGGACACCTTGTGGTTGAACACGTGCTGAGTTTCTTGCACTACTTTCCGCGAAGCACAAGCTTCCAAGGGGTTTGTTCTAGTACAGACATTTTGCGCCAAAGAATTCCGACTGTCCTCATAGAACTTTTCGCGCAACTGATCCAAAATTTCTGTCGTCAGAACGCCTGCTGCTTAAAGATAAATTTATTGCTTAGGACTCCACTTGGATTAAACGTCGTCACAATGGACGAAAAAGGCTCGGTAGTTATACGTTTAAACTTTTTATACGTAACTTATGTGTAAATGTGCCGCTTTTACACGAACACGTCTATAATTTTATGAACAAGTGATTCATCGTCGATGCGATGACGTTGAGACGTACGGTCATAAACGTATTCAGCAGAGATAAAATGAAATTGATTTGACAAGGAATATGATATTCCGCGCAAGATGGCGAATTTAGATCCATGTCCGTGCCGTTCGTGATAGATATTATGTTAGAAACAGGTGCAAAGATGGAAAATGTAGATCGTATATCAAAACGCAACTTACATGCAACCATAGTGACCAATGAGTCGTTGGATGAGTTCCAATGAATTCTTCCTCTTCGGCCGACGATCCGTGCAGATCCGTGCTGATCCTTGCGATCAACGTGCGAATCAGTGCGAGTCGTGCCAATTCTGCTGATTCTGCTGAACGAACGGAAGGACGGACGCACGGGACGCAGTGTTGGGATTTTGGGAAACGGGCCGGGTTTTCTCGCGCATGCGCGATTTTTTCAACATCGTATGTTGGCGCGCACATATTAGAACCCAAAGGGTTCTCGGACTCCTGAAAGTAATATTAGCGGGAAAAGACCGAGACGAAGACTGTTGCCGGTAATATTGACGGGAGAAGACCGAGACGGAGACTGTTGTTGGTAAAATTCATGTTCAATTTGTAATCATTTTTGGCGCCCCATTTTATCGAAAATTGTACATTGCTGATGCTGAAAAAGTCACGCATGCGCGAGAAAACCCGGCCCATATCCCAACACTCGACTGACGTACGGACGAACCAAGACCGAACCACAGCCTACTTTGACATGTAGCCACGCTGAGAATAAAATGACAACACCGCGGGAGTCCTGTTTCCGTGTAAACACAGTCGGCTGTGCGATAATTTTTGGCTGGAGCAGGTTGGTGGAGACCTTTGTATTGCCGTGTATATCTTCATGCGCGTCGCGCGGCAATATTGGAATTGAACGGGTTCGCGGTCGTGAACGCTAGATGGCGCCACATGCAGCCCCAAAATCGTCTGAGGTTATATGTACGTCTATAGATTAGACATTATTGTAGGTATACGTTCGATACTCGCGATAATTTATAGATTATTCATAATAAAGAATTAAAACTACAAATTGCGCCAAGTCGTAGTACGTTGATAATTGAGAATGTAAGTCGATCAAGAGTAAACGTATATGTGTTGATGATAAGCGCGGCCATCTTCCGCGCACCGTCCACGTGACCGCGCGCCCGTCACGTTTGGAGATTACATCCAAGTCGATACTCGATTGTCGGCTTTCTTTCCCTCCGATTACTCTAATTGCAATTTTAATGCCGTCTCTGGCCGTACCGTACACGTTGCACACATGTATTCCCAATAACACAGATTACACAACAGGTAGGAGATTATTTATTATTTACAATTACATTTTATTCGTATGCCTATGACCGTTATTTAGCACGAATAAAATACTAGTATACGTTAGTCAGTATGAAAAAGACGTTCCCTACGTAAATTTACTACGTACAAAACACTACACAGCTTATATTCTACTCATAATATTTATGATCGAGTGGTACAGCCAATGTAAATTACGTCACGATACGAAGAGACCGTGAGCCAAGCCGCACGCGTTACACCCACGTTCACATTGTTCAATTTTTAGTACATCAAAATAATGTGTAATCGATTCACGCGTCAATCACTATCGGTCGATGATCATGAGCTGATATTCGGTGTAGGAGGTTCTTCTACTTTTGACTCCAACGAAAACGGTGGTATTCTACAATCGAACGCGTATCCATCTTCTCTTTCCATTCTAAACGTGCCCCTACAAAGTAACGTAATTCTGAGGTTCCGAGGTATCGATATGATCAAGTATCATGGTAAGATGTGTGAGAATCTCCGCACACTACGTTCTCTAATGCAGTGGTAGCAGTAATATAAACAGTCGACGAATCATACGTACCACATATGGCCGCTCGCAGCTTGTAAACTCACGTGGCTACTGTACTGGAAAGCCGGTAACGTTTTCGATAACACAGGCTCCTGACCGACCACGCCTCTTCCTCGAACGGTCTCCAACGTACCAGAAAGACTGAATATTCTCCAGTGCCTTTCGCGTAATTGCACGCTCAAATCGCCCAGATTCTCGAGACGGATGCAATAACGCCACTACATACGACGTGATTTTGTTCGATGCAATAGAATTATATGTTTACCGTCGTTTTCCGACATTCTGAACGATCATCGATCTGAGGAATACCTACCCAATGCGCGGCAGTAGCCTGATTTCCTCTGTAACCCATGTAAAATGGTATAACGGTAACACGAACGTTCTCTGTAGTTTCCTTATGTACGTCCGACAACTCCAACCAAGGGTGATTCCTCTTTTGCCACGCCCTGAGTGTCTCTTGCGCGATGAAGCATGGATCTCGATTCGGATTGTACGCTAAGAATTTATCGAACAATTCGTGTTGAAGCGCGGTCTTCTCATTCGTCGTGTAAGGTAAAACATCTTCGTGAGCGACGTAATCTAGTCCTGGTACCGTATACAAGCTACGACTGCTCTCGTGATTACTTAGGAACGTCACTGCTTCCGTTTGAGCACGCTAAATGAAAAAGATTTGTTAATTCATATTATAGAATGACTCTATCCACTCGTCTTTTTCCTTTCATATCTATCAGATTTTACTCTCTCTCTCTCTCTCTCTCTCTCTCTCTCTCTCTCTCTCTCTCTCTCTACAAAGTAGGTAGTAAAATCTTTAACACTCTAGATTGGAAGCTTGATTACGCTGCTGCTGCTGCTGCTGATGCTCCCATCACGTTACGAATATTTTTTCAATGTACTCACTATGTAAGGGTAATCCCTCTGGTCGATCAACACTTGATAAAATGTATGCGTTCTACCCTTCACTTCTTTTCCCACGCTATTATAATGATCACCGGAGGTTCTACGAGGATCAAATGGAATTTTTACATTCGATCATCTCTTTCTCTTATCTTCTTTTACGACTCCTATCTCTATTGTTGTACCTACTCCTCTTTTTTGTTGGGAATATCTCTGTCGTAAACCCTTGCTGTCCATGGAAATAATATTACGCCACGATAACCAAACACTCTGTGCAAAATCAATTGGCCAGTCTCATATTTCCCTTGTAATTTAGGAGTTTCTAATTTTCCCACTTCTGCCAATCTGTCGACAGTACAATAAATTCATACATTTAACGGAGAGTAACAGCTCGAGAAGATCAAGTAAACATTATATACCGTGTCTTATGGATAAATTACGTCTGTACGTCTCGTGCATGTACCTATCATTATATTATATGCTACTGCAACGGTATGATGAGAACGTAAGATTAAGGTAAGAATTTTAAGATCAACAACTGTACATTTATTATTAGGCATTGAAGGTAATTAATGTGCATACGTTATTCTAGATACGTAAATGGGTTTTCTCGGTCGGCGATATTTCGCGTGGCGATGGCTCATAGCTATTAAATTTAAATTGTTCCCAAGTTAATAGACGTTACCTGATGTTCCGCACATGCTGCAAACAAAATTTTTTCGGTGCTTTCAGTATGTAGCGTTTCAAATTGCAAGTGAGAAGATTTCGCGCAAGTTCCATTCTTTCGCGGACGATGCGATGATGATACCGTTCAGTGAAATATAATTTTTCGTCTAAACTGTATCACATCGGACCGAATATGCATGATACTGGTCTCTTGACATTTCGGTAGTTTTTTTATTACGTTATAATAATAACGAAGATCATACGTTCTGTTTAGATCATGTTTAGATGCGCACTCGGGACTCGGACTGAAAGGACTGAAAGGCTGATCTTCATGTCGTGCGTGAATAACCAATGTGAACAATTGTAGTAGGGTATGTATACATATGTATCGTGGTAGCGGTATTGAAGCCTAGTCACATGGTTCGCGACCACGTTGCGAATACTTGCGAGACAAATACCGGGCAAATGTTTATCGTCCGTAGTATTAGAAATGATGGTTGACAGTAAGTACTGATAAACCGAAAGTGTACGTATTTAAACGCGTTATTGTGAAACGTACAGAATCTTGGTCACGTATTTTTTCATCGTGTGCAATTATCGAATGGACAGTAGTACACGTGTGTGTAAAGACTATTAGGTTTAAAGACGATTTCTAAAATGAATCGCACTATAAAACGATGTATCGCGTTAACGTGCCGAAGTAGTTTCAATATGAATATTTCCGCAATGGTTCATACTAAAATTTCGATACCGTGCGATCGTTTATTACTAAAACGTGCGTTCGTGACAAGATTCACTTCGCTAATAAACCATAACAAATTGTTGCACAACGCCGGCGGTGTCCTGTTTCAAACGACTACTAAATCCAGTTTAAAATTGAGCGAACAAAATAGAGACGAACAAAATTATCCTGCCGGTCAGTTAAAGAAAAGGCCAAAAAAGAGAAAATCTGTTTCTACCGCCGAAGGGAGCAACGATGTAAGCGATTCGTTTGGAAACTCACGACATTTTTAATATATCAACTATTCTGTTCTGTTAAGTCAATGCCTTGCCTACGAATTGTTATTCGGCTTTTCAGGCATGGAACGTGAGAGCATTGGCCACTTCGGAAGAATATAATTTGGAAGCTCTGGTGCATGGTCTCGTTCAGCAAAACTTATACGTACCCAATACTATAAGTACATCGACCAGCTGTGAGTGTGAACAAATATTTTATTCTCTTTTCTTTCTATGTTAAGATTCCAGCGACGTGAGACATTGACAATTCGTTGAGAGTGATTGCCTAAAATGAAAATTTAGTCGAAGCAGTGTGCCATGCAGTGTGGCATTCTCTACTCGTGAGAACATTCCGGTTTTCATTCGCATACGTACATACATCGCACATACATACGTACGTGAATCGAAGCCAGCGAGTCAGACTTATTTCAAATCTGTGTAAATCAAAAGGTGTGTGCTCTCTCTGTAGAGTTAGCCGAACAAGTCCGAACGACGAAATGGATTCTGCGGCGCTTCGTCTGTCGAACTTTTCTGCGAACGAGGTGGACGAGCTGATAGAGAAAGCGATAGACTGGGCATTCGTGCATGGACTGTGCATCAGATCGAAAACGAATTTTACTAGGAATTCGATACAATTCTTTCCGTTTATTCTGCTACCGTCTCCGTTCCCTAGAAAAGAGTTCGACAATGCTCGTTGGATCCAGACGACGTTGAACATCCTTATACACAGAGTCGCCCAGGACCACGATTTTCTGAGCGGCACTTTGAAAGAAACGATTCAAGTCGACGATTTCACCAAGCGATTGTTCGAGATTTACGAGATCGTAAGGAGCGAAGGAGGATCCGCGCAAAAAATATCTCTGGGTATATTACGTTCCGATTTAATGTTGGACACGTGCTGTTTACGAGAGGACCGGCCGTATTCACCGTATTGTTGCTGGAAACAAGTCGAAATAAATACGATTGCCTCTGGCTGCGGCGGGGTCGGACCTCTCACCAGGGAGCTACATCGATACGTACTAGGAGAGATCGGTTGTCAGAAAGACCTCGAGAAGAGTCTCCCACAGAATGATTCGTTGCAAGTAATATGTTCGTGCATAATCGATGCGTGGAAGATGTACGGAGACGAACAGTACGTAATCGATTAAGACCACAAAAAGAAACGACGAAAAAAGAACGGATGAACCGAGATCGATCGAAATCATCGTCGTTTAATACGGTTGATTCTTTACAGAGGAGTGATACTGTTTGTCGTCGAAGATGTTACGTATAACATATGCGATCAACGATTGCACGAGTTCGAAATTAGAAAACAAAATCCGGATGTTAAAGTCGTTCGGAGAAGTTTAACCCAACTTTCGGTCACTGCCAGATTGGGCAGTAGACGAGAATTGATGGTAGACGGCAATTACGTCGTATCCGTGGTGTATTACAGATCGGGGTACGAGCCTGGCCAGTATCCGACGGAAAAAGAATGGGAAACAAGATTATTGATAGAGAGATCGTTGGCCATTAAATGTCCGACTATCCAGTATCATTTGGCGGGGACTAAGAAAGTGCAGCAGGTCCTAGCGAAGCCGGGCGTAGTTTGTAAATTTTTAGAGAATGAACAGACCGAGTGCGCCGAGATAAATAAGATATTCACTGGTAAGCGAACGGTTCCATTCCGGTAAAACTATCTGGTCGATTGAACGTTCTTTTGCACAGGGCTTTACGCGTTAGACTTTGACGAACACGGAGAAGCCGCGATAGAAATGGGAATCGCGAATCCGGATAAATTCGTGCTGAAGCCTCAACGAGAGGGAGGCTCCAACAACAAATACGGCTCGGACGTGAAACACTTTTTAGAATCTGTGAAGAATCAGAGGGAGAGGGTGGCTTGGATTCTCATGGACAAAATCTATCCACCGATTCACGATAGTTACATGATCAGGCCCGACGAAGATCACGTGAACGGAGAACTCCGAGAACTGGTCTCCGAATTAGGCATATTTGGTGTGATAATCGCCGACGACGAGAACGTGTATATTAACAAACAGGGCGGTCATATGTTACGAACAAAATTGGCTACTGCCAACGAGGGTGGTGTTTCAACAGGATTGGGTGCATGCGACAGCCCTTTTCTCATATAGATTCAACGATGAGTCCTTGACAAATACATGCTTTCAACAACCTGGTATATACCTGGATTGCTTACGTCCGAATTTACGTTGCGAAGATACAGAGCGACCTTTTCACCGATTCAGTCACTCGATCAATTTTAACTGGAACAATGGAACGTACCGATCACTGTTCGCGTTTAAATACTTATTACGTTACAATCTACACTTTCCTAAAAAACGTAATATCTCGTTCGTGGTGTATAATTATTTGGTACGCCTTAATTAAGATTAGCCGAATTAAGCGCAGCGGAAAGCACGCAATTGTTTATGAGCTACACGCATTCCTTGCATTCGTACGTCCCGTAATTGTTACCGTCGATATCCAACAAACTAATTTAACGATACGTTCGTGTGTATGTGTGTACGTATGTACATCGATTACTCCGTTGTGTGACTGTACGTAGATTATTTTTACAGCTGTGCCAGAAGTTATACACGCGGTGGCGAAGTACGAGGTAGAACGCGAACCGAGAGAAATTTTCTTTTTCGAAGAAGGCACCGTAGTAATGTGGAACGTGTCCGAGCTCGAGTGTGAAAACATATTGGACTTTCTAAAAAAATATGAACAAAGTCGTTACATGGACTATATCGTGCAATCCGAGAGCGAAGAGATGCGCTATAGTTACACAGAGGATGGGTAACTATTTAACGGGCAATATTTTCCACGGTCGCAGATGAACGCAGATTAAATCTTTAATTCAATTCGACGTTTGTTGCCAATTGACCTTTGGTTTTGACCGAAAGTTAATCGAATAACAGCTTAATTGTAAGAGAAATTTAATCGTGCCGTTGTTAACGCGGCAATTAAGGATGTATTGGCTATACAGTCAATCCCAAAAGTTTATATACTT